GATTTGGAGCTTATGAAATTTGGAGGTTATGAACCGCTCTGTTCATTTAATATTTTAAGCGTTGGAGTTTGTGAAATTTGGAGTTTATGAAACGCTCCCTGTATTACTAATAGGTGCAAAAACTACTGAACCAACTGGGCTTAAATTTTACAAAAATATAGCTACCATACCAAGGACCATTATAGGACTATTCACATTTCGATACTGACCGTAGGCTTTGCCCCTTTGGCTTTAAAAGTTCTTAGGTGAACATTTTAAAAGTAAATATTGATTGGTCTCCATGGCTGTGATGAGAACACTAACAATGTTTGTTTACATTTGCTTTGACATTTAAATGTAAACAAGAAGAACTGCTAAACTGCATATTTCAGACAGCTGATACAAAGAAATTAAATATAATATTTTCTATAACTATGAGGTAGGTTTATTTTAATCTAACCTTTTATCATGGATTATTTATTCTAAAACTATGTCAATGATTATAAAAAAAATATTCTATAATCGTTGCTGTATCAACTCCGGCTCTGCTTTGGATTTTTTAAAGTGTCTAAGTTATGAAAATAATGTTATTGATACGTTTTCATGGAAACAGTATGACAATTACAATGTAGGCTATAGATGTTTTGTATAAATTTGGAGGCTACTTTAAATAAATTCTAACTGCTTAACATGTATTAGATTAACTTAAGATAACTTGCACATCACATTGTTTTTTATATGTATATTTAGGTAAGTTAAAGTTATCGTGTTTTGCTAAACCTATGCTTAAATTAAACTAAAGAATATTACCAATAACTAAATTGTACCGTTGATTTTTGTTTTCTAACATCTGTTGTAGCCTATATGTGTAACTACCTATATATTTAATTATCAAATGGTAATACAAAATACTCTTATTTTATCTTAACATAGCTTCAGTTCACATTTACTTTATTTGATACATTTATTATTTGTTTTGCCACACCACTGATTAAATTAAACCAAGGAAAATATCATAAAACTAAGCAGTACACAGTGTTCTTTTGTTTCTAAAATCAATGAAATATCTGTTACTATGTTTACTTAATGGTAAGTGTGAAAATGTAAAGGCAATGGATGATGGAACTGATGAAAAGAACTGGTTTGTATATATATATATATTTTTTAAGTTGTTTGTTGATATTTTTGTAGAGTGTAGAATCAGAGATGCAATGAAACATATACTGTATTTGCTATTACATTTTTTAGTACTTGATGCTTTGATAATCATATTAGGTTTGCCTGCTGTCTTTAATGCTAAATTATTTGTTAAAGATTGTTTATAGTACCTATAGATATAGTTTCTTTAATATTTCAAAAGACTGAATTTATAAGGCACAGCAATATTTATAAAGTTTATAACAGCTGACTTAGTTTTGCTAATAATTTATTGTGAGTGAAGTAACTGAAGATGGAAGGATTTGTGATTCAATATAAAGAAGAGTGAAATAAATAAAAATTCATTTAAATTTAATAATTAGTATTTTTGCAACTTCAAAATTGAAATTTAAAATGTCGATAATAAATTAAAATATATGTAATTAAGGGAGATGAAGTGATCATGAATGTCAAAGTTTTATCAGAAGATTTGGTCAGTTTTCTCATATCAGCCTACACAAAATTTAAAATTAAATTAATAAAAACCAAAATGGTGGTATCCACTACTTACCAGATTTAAAAGTCATAACTTAAACGTTTCTATTAAGGCCATAAAAGTTGAATTTTGTTTCTAAAAGCGTTGGCGGATGTGTAACTATTATATGCAACAGATGTAAAGATAAAAGGTTTCTATTTTGTGTTCTCTTCCCGTTGCAAAGCACGGGTACAACAGCTAGTATGTACTAAACCGTTATGTTTCCGGGGGAATTTTCATTATTACAAATTTTTATTTTTTATTGTGATTTGCTCATAAAAATATAACATAATGGAAAAATCTGATTTTCACATAAACCTAATAGCTATATTGATTTTAATTTAAATTTAGTTTGCTATAGCCATTTTAACCGCGAAATTACTGCACAATCCCAAACGTTATAAAAATAACAACAGTTCAAAAGTTATCACAATTTTTGTGATTTTTCCCATTAAATAAAAACCCATAAAATTTTATAAAGATTGAAAGCACGCTTTTAGACACTATTAATTAATTCCCACCTCCCCATATACCAAATTTCATCAAAATAGTACTACAGGCGTAGTCTGTAGCTCTGTGCACATCCACACATAATTTTTATGTGAAGCTAATAATGAGAGAGATTTCTGTCAGTTTGCTGATCATTTATTTTCTTTGTTCTAGCCAAGGATCTGTGTGGGTTTCACGTGAAGCTGGGCTGCAGCGTGAAACACTTGGTACAGTCTGGTGTGACGACTAGTGAGGAGTTGCTGGTTGTGTCCAATATGTTCCGACACAGACTGTACCTGTTATTGCCTCACCGTAGGACTCGCACAGTCTATGTGCTGTTTGCCAGTAGTGCCATTACGCTGGACGTGCTGCAGGCTTACTTTCATAGTGTGTTGGTAGCACTGGCCATTGCTCTAGTGGATAATGTTCCAGTTGTGAGTTTTCAATGTTTTCCACAACTAAAGTAAGCTACAAAAGAACCCCTTATTTACAGCCTCGGTTTTACCTGTCTTCATTTCAAAGGGCACTTCTGGGAAGGCAATATCAAAAGATATTTCTCACAGCCTACAGACTTGTATTTCTGGATCGGCAGGAATTGGGTGGTAGTGAAAAAACTTTTATCTTGGGAAAGATTTTACGGAAAGTAAATAAAAGAAATGTCTTATAACACTTAAAGCATATATTTACGCTTATACTGTTACTCACAAGACGGTAAATATACAAAAAAGATGGTAAGTGGTGGTAACACGTACAATGCTGATCAAGAAGTTATTTGAAAGATTTTAGACCGTGATCACATGTCTAAATACAATGCTCTCCCAAATTTGTGAAAATATTTGAGTTAGTTGCATTACACGTATATAGTATGCATTAGACATTCCTTAACTAACACATTATAGGGGATATCGGTTTAACCTGAAATCTGATCAGCTTTCCAGACCTTGGTCCAGAGAAGTCTGAATAAGGGGGTGTCTTCTGTACCGCACTGAAAGCCTCCAGCTGTGTAGTTGGATGTGTTAAGAGCTACAGACTACACTGTGGTCCAATTTTGATAAACAATTTGATATTTGGGTACCTCTCTTTAATAACTCTGTGTGTTTTTTTTTTATTTTAAAAATTTTGATTTGCCATAAAATAACAGAACAATTTAAATTTTACTAAAACGTCTTGAACAATTTTGATTACAATTTAGCATGTAACGGTCCTTTTGATTCTAAAAATGCAGTGCAACCCCCGAGGCTTTAAAAGTTGTTCTTTATAGTTTTGTGATTTGTGAAAATATAATTACTCCCACCGCTTAAGGGTAATTGAATAGCTAACGGGAGAAAGTATGTCTCAGTTTGCCGATATAGTTTATTTTTACATTCAGATAAGGCTGTTATCGCTACAGCAATCCTCCAACTGTTTAGAACACAAAAAATGTTTGGTAGGTCAGTGACTCAGTTGATGTCAAGATGGGCTGAGTGTAAGCCAATAATGTTGTGGGTTTGATGCCAGAGCTACCATATTCATTTAGTTAATTCTTGTACTGTTACAGTTCAACCCCAAGCTTTACTGGGCACGTTCCTAGCACAACTACGTAGGACAGGCATGATGTTAAAAAAAGGTGCCGACCTCTTTGATTCATGTCACTTTTCGTCTCTTAATTGGTTTTTGTCTCCCATTTAGAAGATCGACAAAGAAATAAGCAAAAGCAGAATCCTGACAAGTGTTGAGGCTGGATTAAAGAAGCTGAACACTTCCAAGTTTGCGGGCTTTCCAATAGAAGCGGTTTCTGTTACCAATGATATTGTAGACAGGGAGTTCGAGAAGTTCCACCAAGGTATTGTAAGAGGAGGTAAGGCTTGGCCCATTTAATATTGTGTCCAAGTAGGAAACTGAATATTATTTTTGGTTTATCAAAAAATCTATGTAAATATGTAATTGTGAAAATAGTTAACACATTTTTATCATAACTTGTCGAGAAATCAAATTATTTACAGTAGAACCTCTTTAATCCGAACTAATTGGGACCGGACGTAGTTCAGGCTATTGAATAGTTCGGATTACAGAACAGATTGTTGTTATTACATAAAAACTAGGAAAAAGTTATTTTTTTTACATAAGTAGTAGGGAAAGTGAAAAATGCTTTATAAAATAAAATTCGGTGTTTATTTAATACTGTAGTAAACATGGGGAATAAACAGTAAGATAATTATGGTGCGTATATCAATAAATACAGTACCTATACAATATTTAAAAAACCACTGTACTGTGTATAGAGTACAGCAATGAGGCGTTTGGATTAGTGGACGTTCGGATTAAAGAGGTTCTACTGTACATTGTGTAGTGTGTTACGCTACAAGGGAAGAAGGTGTTTATGGTAGCCTACAAGTTTGATGATTCCGTGGGAAGCTTATGAAACGTGTGATTTCATGTACCGTCAACTCCTTCCCTTTCTACGACTTGGTCTAATAAGAGTACAGAAAAAGCAGCTGTGCTTACAATGAAGTATGACACAAAATATTTGTAACTATTTTTTAGGTTGGAGCACAGACAGCCACAGTTTACTGGTAGAAGAATGGAGGGGAAGTTGGCATGATTCAGGCTCTGCAGAACCAACCAAGGATAAATAATGTTTTGTTTTTATTATTAAATTTAATTTCTTAAACTCCTTGGCTTTGTTTGTACAATATGTGGCTAAACCTATTCTTCTATGGCTGTACTAATGCGTAAAACATGCAAACTGGTGGCGTATATAGTAACAAATATCCTCGGCAACGGCTAAGATTAGAGCTACCCAATGTGTTTAAGATCATCGGTACACCACAAATTGTCGAAGACGAGGTGAACATGATAACAGCAAATGAAACGCAATGTGTATTATTAAACATGTTATAATTTAATCACATCATAAATACATTTGGCCACATCTTTGGCACAACTATTTAGGCTTGTCTGCCTTAAAAATGCCACAAAATAAGGCACTAGAAATGGCACATTGTCTCTCAGCTGAGCCAAAGTTCCTAACAACTTAACTAATTCTAAAATAGTCACACCTCCGAGTAAAAAACAGAAAACAATATCACATCACACACAAATTCATCCTCATAACACACACTTTCATAACTTAAACAGAATAAGATGGTCTCACAAAACTAACTATTCATAGGAATAAATTAAACATGAGTATTTTAGCGTTCCGAGTGAAAAAGCAAACATATCCAATACTCAAAGTTACTTAACTTTACATAGCTTTAGTCTAATTAAGTCACACTGGTTAGCTTTCATAGTTATTGTTTCTCCCTACAAGGAATGTTTTTCCAGTGCGATTCAAAACTAAAATCACTGGATGAAACTTCCGGATCATAAATTAGTTAAAAGTTAAAACAAAACTCCAAGGTGCTAAGTCATCGTACACTATTCGATAAGCAGTCTTACGATATTTTGCTGCGCAAAATCTCTTACATAACAATATTTACATTTAAATTAGTCATACAAAACACTAACAGTATCTAAACACTTTAGCTATCAACATTGGACTAGGTAGTCACTGTTAGTAAATCCTTAAACAGGGTAACATTAATGATAAAACTGGATAGGTTAAACACGGCAAGGTTTCAGGTTTCGTTAACTTCCTCAACTGATAATTGATTTTAGTTTTAATTTAGACACGTTTTACTCGAAAGGCCAATAAGTATGTAAATGTACATACAAAATAAAATTACATAAGCAAAACCACATAACAAACTCTTTAAACCATGTCAATTTGGACCGTTTTGAAACCTTGCCTTGTTGAGAGTTCAACAAAGCCCAGGGCAGTAGTAGACCATAGCTTCGGACGGTAACTTCCACTCAGACGCTCGTAGTTCAATCAACTGGAGAAGAGTAGGCTTCAACAACTTATCCACCTTGTTTGTGAGGAAAACATCTCGCATGATGCAAAATAGTTGGTCCATCTCTTGGGGAAAAGTTTGTTCGATGTCCTTTCCGATAGACACCAGTATAAAATACATGCAGTCAACCTGTAATCGTAACATTAATGAGTATAGGAACTTATACTATATACTATAGGTGGTTTTAGCGAATTTCCCTATAGGGAAGTAGCTATTACCGTAGGTCTCATGGTAAGACCTAAGCCCGGGACCGATTTACTTTTTCATTTTGATATCCCCAGAGGCCAAAAACACCATTCGTTCAAATTTTTATATATCAACTCATGTTTTGTTTTAAGATTTACTGTGATAGTGAATCTGTGTAGTGTTTTTTCCTAAGACAGCAGTTGTTTTTACTGCCAACTTAAATTTTATGTCTATAGTTATGTGTTTAAAGCGGTACAACTCGACACATAATAATAGATATATTTATATATATATATATGTGTCCATCCGCACGATAACTTGAGTAATTTTTGTCCGATTTTGATAAAATTTGGTTTGAAGGTGTAAGGCGGGATAAACTTGAATGAGTTCGCGAACCAGCATGATCGGACTATGGGAACGGGGGTTTATGGGGGGTTTTATGGGGTAAAAATAGGTTTTTCCCAATTTTGACCCTAAAAACACGAAATTTCACAATTTCTTTTTTAAACCATTTTATAGAGCTTAAAAAAACCAATAATTTAGTATATTGAAGCGTTATTATGCGCCTATTTGTTACAGAGAAAATTCAAAAAATTTGTAATTTTGAAATTCCCATGTTATTCTTATGGAGAATAAGTCAACTGTTGTAGTTTGCTTGTTTATGAACATATTTTGATCGATTTTGGAAAATACTTTTATTTCTTACTAAACTATTATCAATTTATAAAAAAAATCTTTTTTATCCTCCCTTTTGCAGCAAACCTAAGTAGGCCTACTCGTTAAACTTATTCTATTTAAATAGGAAATAAATGTGCTATTTTTATGGAGGCATTTTAGTGTAAATCCAATCAGGTTAATGGAAATTCGCTTAGTCTGCAGGTTTGCTGCGGCGGGGGTATTTTTTAGTATTTATGACGTAGGCTCTTGTCTGGAACTATTTTAGACATTTCTTCAAGGCCTAGAGGGTTGTGGCATTATCGCTTTGATAAAAATCGGTGATTTGCGAGATATGATTAGGGCCTCGGGGACCGATGTTCCACGCTCTACCACTAGGTCAAGTCCTGACGCATGCCTGACGAGCATCCACATTGTCCTTGCCTGTGTACACTTCACGATAGAATGGTTCTGGGAAAAATAGTGTTAAATAACAGTCAACTCATGTTTTGTTTTAAGATTTACTGTGATGGTGAATCTGTGTAGTGTTTTTTCCTAAGACAGCAGTTGTTTTTACTGCCAACTTAAATTTTATGTCTGTAGTTATGTGTTTAAAGAGGTACAATTCGACACATAATAATAGACTTCACCCTCTTAGTGCTACGGTGTTGATCCACAACAATGTAGTTATTGCCAGCATCGCTAATACGATGAGAATTTTGCACTGTCAACATGATCGTTCCAAGTCAACCTCTGGTCAAGGAGTATTCCGAGTAACCTAGTGTGGCTCAATCGATCGTTTATCGTTTCTTCTTCAACCATTACCTTAAAACATCAAGGCTTCTTGTAGTTATTGCCAGCATCGCTAATACGATGAGAATTTTGCACTGTCAACATGATCGTTCCAAGTCAACCTCTCGTCAAAGAGTATTCCGAGTAGCCTAGTGTGGCTCAATCGATCGTTTATCGTTTCTTCTCCAACCATAACCTTAAAACATCAGGCTTCTTGAACGGAGACAGAAATTTATAAAAGAAGCTTTGTTGGATTAGTTGCCAAATCCGGTATCTCAAAAATTAAAATGCACAAATTTAAATCTACAAAACCTTCTATTTTTGAAGTTAAAGAGTTGTGTCGTTGGCGTACTAAACTGTCGATGGCGCAGAGATGTTTTCATGTCATTGACATAAATATGTTACAGGACAGGAGTGATTATTGATCCCTGAGGGACACCATTACTCTACTTGAAAGGGTTTTTAATTTAGTTGCACATTTGAATGGACCGACTCCTGTCACTGAGAAAGAATTCAAAACAATGACTCAAAACCTTAGACCCAAAACAGTCAGCAATGAGCTCAACATGGTCTTTCCCATGATTGGCTGATTCTTTCTTTGCTTATTATTCACTTTTAATACTTTCTATATAAGAAGTCAAAGCCTATGCACTAAAAAGCACAATATTTTAGATACAATATTAATTAAGATTGGCCAAACAATATGTGGACGTTGTAATGTATGGTTACTGTAACAAACATTACCTCGAGTCTGATGATCGGCTTGGACTGTAGAATGTCAATGAAACTTTTGGACAGCAGGTTCAACAGAAGCTTATGGGGTGGGAATCCGTCGTAGTGAGTCTTAAGTTGCGCGGTACTCCTCTTCAACTAAACAAAATATTGATTTTATTGTTTACCGTTTAATTTATATACAATTAAAGTTTGATATTCATAAAAATAATACTCTTAACAAGTTTTCCACTTTGGTTCATCAGAAGGTTCCGTTGTTAAGTGAAATAAAGCTATTTAAGATTAGGAAACTACACATTCTAAACATTAGGCCAAGTCAATACATGTCATCAAATCTTGGTGGACGAACAAATACTGTCATTTCAAAAGCGTAACACCCGGCAGGACTAGGCTCACTTTGTATATTTCTGTAACAGTTACTCGTTAGTGATGGGAAATAATGTCACTGTGCGAAAATAGTCTGGAACGTTTCTTGCTTTAGTCATAGTCATAGTCATAGTCAAATAATCTTTATTCAGCAGTACAACATGTTGCACCAGAATGGCGTTATACAATTAAATTATATTGTTAGAACTAACCATAACTTATATAAAAAGGCTAAACAAAAATACAAATCTTATAACTTACAATTTACAACACATTCAACCAAAAAAATTCATCTAGGGAATAAATGGGCTTGGATAACATAAAAGTTTTTAGCTGTTTTTTAAATTTATTTTTGTCTGTTATTTGTAAAATATTATCTGGTAGATGGTTATAAAATTTAATCCCAGCATATGACGGTTTATTTTCAAAGAATTTTAAGTTGTGATTTGAAAAACTGATTTTGTGTCTGTGCCTTGTCCCATAGCTGTGGCATGAACCCAAGGTCTCAAATTTTGGTAAATTATTCTTTACAAACAAGATCAAATCAAAGATATATTGGGCAAAAACAGTAAGAATACCAAGTTTTGAAAATTGTTCTTTAACTGAGGTTCTCCAATCTTGAATGTTTAACATGATACGAAGTGCTTCTTTTTGATATAATAATATTTGTTCCAAATTTTCATGAGAGGTTGCACCATACAAAGGTATGCCAAAGGAGATGTGGGAGTGAATAAAAGCAAAGTAAATTATTTTTAATGTTTCCAAAGGACATAATTTAGACATTTTTCTCAAAGCAAAAATCCCTGATGAAATTTTACGGCCAAGATGTTCAATATGAAGGTTCCAATTCAAATTTTTGTCAAGTACAAGTCCTAGGAATTTAAAATTTTGCAGTTCTTCTAGACATTTTCCTTCCATCAAAATTCTGTGTTGAGCTGGTTTATTACTTTGATATGTTGAGAAAGATATGCACTTTGTCTTATTTATATTTACTAAAAGGTTTAAATTGTTTAAGAAAGTATTTACGTGTGGAAATTGGTTATTTGCTATTGACTCTACTTTTTGATGGGTATTACCAGATACAAGTAAGCTAATGTCATCAGCATATAAACAACAGACTTTTGCATCATCTAATACATCTGGTAAACCCTTTGTATAACATATGAACAACAGTGGTCCCAGGATTGATCCTTGTGGCACTCCATATTTTAAAATTTCCAATGATGAAGTAAAATTTACCTTATTGTTGTTTGTGACATTAGTTATTTCTACATATTGCTGTCTGTTATTTAAGTATGATTTAAACCAATCTAAAGCTCTTCCCTTGATACCCAAACAAAACAGGATATTTACCAGCTTGGAGTGTGACACACTATCAAAAGCCTTGCTGAGGTCCATGAAGACCCCAGTAACATTATTTCTCTTATCAACCGAATCTATTACTGATTCAATGAACTGAACACTAGCACTAATCACAGACTTGCCGGATTGAAATCCATGTTGTTCTTTATCTATCAAGTTGTTGGTTTCCAGAAATTCTGTTAGTTTTATACACATAGCTTTTTCATATATCTTAGAAAAGGATGGTAGTAAAGATATAGGTCTATAGTTTGAAGGTATAGCGGGGTCTCCCTTTTTAAAGACTGGTTTAATCTTAGAAATCTTTAATTTGTCAGGAAAAATACCTGTAATAAAAGAAGAGTTTACAAGATGACATAACGGATATTTTAGATAGTCAATTGCTGTTTTAATAATAGGCATGGGGATCTCATCATAACCACAAGAAAATTTATTTTTAAAAGACAAAACTATTGATTTGATTTCTTCTAATGATAGTGGTTGAGGAAGAAAACTTTTATTTGAGTGGCTCAAAAGGGGTGTTTGGATACTTTTAGCTTTGTTGGGTATGTTTGGGATAACTTCTGTTTCAACCATGTTGGCATAGTACTGGTTTAGGAGTGCACTTACCAACCTGGCTTGCTTTGTCGGTTATAGGTGAAATAATACTATTATTTTTGTCACCTGTTACTTTCTCGTCAAGGTGGTATAAGCTTGGATGCTGTTTATAGGAAAACACAATCAGCATGAAATTAGCGTTTTTTTTCCACTTCCTTGATCTTACAGTTAAGACGTGACAAAAATAATAGCGTATTATCAGTAATCTATTACCAAGGTAATAAGTTACACACTTAAGAAACAGTATTATTATCCTATTAAGTTAAATAACATACACCACTATCACGTACCGGTACTGTATCGGATAGCTGCTGCCTTGACTTGTTGTGCAACAACTTGTTTCCCTTGTGGTACTAAAAGGCTATTAAAACTCGGGAACAATTCTTAAAACGTAATGAGCTGCACCCTTTAGTTACTCACCTGGACATACATTTCGTCGAGGAAGTTCATGTAGCATCGGTAGCGACCGCCGGTCGGGGAACGCAACAACTTGTCTCGCTCTTGGAACGAGAGCTGACAAGTGTTCATCAACGACTCTAGAAAAGTCCCTTTCTTCTCTTTCTGAAAAATTAATTAGAAACATGTCTGAAATAAGTAGTTTGATTTATCCTAGGTCCAAAAATTGCAAATGTGGGAAAATAGCTTTTGTTCTTGTATAATACAAGAAGTGATCTTAAAAGGTCGGTGATCTTCGGTCAGTCGGTGGCTCAGTCGATAGCGTCACGGACTTCAGGCCCAAGGCAGCAATGCCGTGGGTTCAGATCTTGGTCACTGCCGCAAACATTTTATCAGTATATTGACGGTGCTGTGGATAAGAAAAGAGAAATATGCCGCATATTTCCTGGATTTGAACAGTGTGACAAAGATGACGCCATGGAGTGGTTGGGTGTTGGCCTGGATACCAGATTTTGGCCGACCAAGAAATAGCTGACAAGCTAAATGAAGGTATGCTGCTATTTTTAACTAATCACAGCTATAGTAAATTGTGTAAATGTAAATAGTAAATCGCTATAGTAAATTGTGAAGGTAAGTATTTTTACTACTTTTACTAACTATTTTTATTGTTATTTTAGTGTAATATCTAAGCTTCTTCTGGTTTGATAGTGTAGATATCTTTAAATTGTCTGTTATACAATTTCACAGTACTGTACAGTAGGCATACTTATAAATTTTGCTATAATTCTGATTGTTTTGTATAGGCCTACGTACTGTGTAGTAGCAGAAAAATAATTAATTTTTTTAACTAATCCAAGCATTTCGTTTTAGGTTTTAAAGGATACAGAAACAATGGAATCTGGTCGTGACGATGCAGAAAATGAGACTGATAAAAGCGACATTCTGAAGTGTATGCGGCAGCAGACATTGATGCTGGAGAAACAAAAAACAGCTCACCCACCCAACTGATCCTTTCAAAACGAATTAAGGAATTGGCTGCAAAAAACCAACCACTATTGCAGTTCCTATCACACATTTTTTAAAGCTCAAATTATGTAGTGTGATTTTTTACTGTACACATGTTGTTATTAAATACGATATAGTGCTTGATCATAAATAAAGTTATTAATTCATCTCACTTAGACCCTTTACTGTACCTTGTATAAAATATACGACTTTAAAAAGTATTTTGCTCAAATAGTGTGTGCTGGCCCTTTTATTAAAGGTACGGTAATTGGTAATTTTGATCAATCGGGTTGGAATTAGGTAATCCAGATGGGGTTCGGTTGCAATTAATCTGAAGTATTGACGTTCTACTTTACTGGTGGTTTTCTCACCTCAATGACATTGATGCAGACCTTAGCGGCGTGCACGGCGTAGTTACGGTCACTCAAGGCTCGCTCCACTATCACGTTAGCCAGCGACATGAGGGATCGTGCCAACATCTCGTTGGGATCTAACAAAAAAGTCAGTCATTAAAAATCAATATAAATGAGTAAATTTAAAATAGCGGAAATACTTATGTAGAATCGTATCTTACCCATAAGTCATTTTTAACAAGTTTTTTTTAAGTCATTTAAGTTAGTTTTTCCTGAAATTACAACTTATTGAAAAACAATTTAAACATTTTATTGATTTGCCTGAGGAAGCAAAGCAAGGTACTCTTTAAACCTACAACTGTTTTAAATAAGGAATAAATATGACGTGTTGAAGAACTATTTTTGTAAAAATCCAATCAAGCAAATTGGCACTAAAATTTAACATTGAACTCTCTCCTGTGAACAAATATTTTAAATTATGTGGTGATTTCTTTTGCTTAATTCTTTATGTATCGAACTGAATTTCTCTATATCTAACTTGACCGTGCTGAACTAAATGTAAAAGTGACTCACCCTTGATCGCTTGATAGAGATCCTTCCTAATATCTTCAGTAAACGTCCCCATTCCTAGGTCACCTCCGCCAATAGTGCTACTGGTGGGGGAGGAGCCCCGCAGTGTGTCGGTAGCACTGAGGGACTTGCTGCGCTTCAGACCTGTGCCGGGGCTCTTGTGCTTGACGGGGGGCTCTTGAAAATGAACCGCTCGCGGTGTCGCCTGCAGTCAATCAGTAAAGTTTTATTTCACAAATTGTACAGTTTGGTACATGAAATAGTGTCACATTAGTCTACTTGATTTTAAAAATATTGCAAATTTGCTAAAAATAAAGAGTAAACTATTCATTGTATTTAAAATTTCTTTGACCAAGACCAACCCACTTAATTGAACATGATAAAATTAAGATTAAATAAAGCAAAGAACAATCAACGGTAAATCTTTTGTCTTAATGCAATTTACACATAAAAAATTCTTGAAGGTAGTATGCGAATGTGTTTCCTACATTACAAATTTTTTTCTTCTAAAATTCTAAATTGTTCTGCTACGAAACTCGGTTAACATCCCTTAACACTCAAGATCATTATACATGATGCATCATGCGTGAGGTGAATACTCACCGTCAGCGGTTGTATGTTGTTTGCTGTGATGGGGCTTGGCTGGACAACATGCAGCACATTACCACTAGATTTGGATTGCTGCAGAGGCATCATCATGGGGCTCTTCCCTCCATAGCTCGGCCCCGCCATCATGCCGTACCCGTTCATCATCACGCTCGATGTAGATCTAAAAATACAAATGATGTAGTGCGGACCGTTCTACGGCTCAACCAATACCTAAAGAGTAATTGCGCAATATTCCAAAGGAATTAATATTATATTAGTGCACGAAAACCTTTTATGCCCCCCACCAAGTAAAATTCATACTCTGTGATTATATTTCTGAGGTCAAATTTGTTAACCGCTATTGATTATTTGGACATAATAATTGTACACTAGAGTCAGAGTAAGTTTGTAGTCTGTCTTAAACAACTGCACAAAGGATTACACTGTAGGTTGCATATTGTCGTTTACGAAAATCTACTATAGTTAGGGGAATTTTGCATGCAGATTGCAGGTGGCTTAAGTTCAATCACGGACTTAAATTGAAACTTTATTAATATTCACTGCCAACCCCGTTGCGCAAATATGACGATAGTTTTCTGCAAAAACCCTGAACCACAATGGACATTTTCTCTATCAAAATATTTTTATGTATACACATCTGGAAATAGTAATCAATATGGATCGACTTGACATATTTCCTACAGAAACATAATCACAGAACGTGGTTCATATTTGTCAGGAGCGTTAAGTTTTTTATGACGTTTTCGAATACCATGCCGAGACTAATCGTCTCATTGAGGTAAAATCCGGCTGGAATAATATTGAATGAAATAAGAAACATGACGTTGGTTTTAGATTTGAACTAGTTAGTTTGGCTGCAGCGGAAGCTCGAAGGAAACCTTAATTTATGGACAACCCACGTACAAAATAATGGTTACATCTAAGATAATAGGTCTAATGACAACAAAAATAATGCTGACACCTAAAATAATGCTGCAAAATAAAAAAAAATGCTGACATCTAAAGAATGCTGACCAACTGAATATTTCAAAGTAGATTCCGTCCTTAGATAAACTGTAGTGACGTGTTTGTAGTTAATAAATTATTTAAGTGGAATAACAACTATTTAAACAGTATCGCTTTTTACTAAGTTATTCCATTCGTTATATTTCTCACCAAACAGTTCCGTGTATGATTAATACTCAAGAAAAGCAGGAAAATAAGTTAATTTATAAATAATGTAGTTTAACTGAAAAACATTTAACAATCGAAAATGATAGTTGTGTATATATAGACAAAATGTATTGTTTAAAATTAATAAAATGTGAATCAAAATTCAGGAGGAAAACTTTATCTTCAAATAATAATCTAAATAGCAGATGGGAAATAATATAACAAATTCTAAAATAAAACCAATAATCTCTCAGTGTAAACTATTTCAACTTTGTACGATAACTTGTTTATGTTACGTTAATACTTTAAACTTGGTGGATCTCATTTAGCAGATCTAAAAAGCCCCAAGGCAGTTCTGAATGCTTATGTAATGGTAGAAAGTTTCCCCAGTGTACATCCAGCACATTCCAAAACTCAACAGTTAAGCAAAATTCTGAAACTGTTTGTTATTTAAGTTAGTCTTTTGACATGACTGTCTTAAGATATAAAAAAACACATTATATTTTCTATAATTATCAACTGAAGGTGTAACTTGCTTAAAGGACAACTTATTCTAAGTTAAGCAACACTCTATGTATTCATCAGTTATCACAGAATGAAAACTGAAGACAAACCAAACTTCAAAGAATTGAAATACCTTTACATTTCCAGACCATCAAGTGGTAACAGTTATAAAAAGTTATTGAATAACTTAACTTTCAATATTGTTCAAAAACTAGTATAAACTACATTTATAAAATCATATCTTATTATATATTTATAGACGACAATAAAATATTAAATTCTCTACAAACAGGTTTTCCGAGAATTTAGTATAATTTACAACTAGAAAAATAAAAAAGTAAAATAATTTTAATTTAATGACATTAAAATCTCAAGACCACATCTGTGTACCACAAACGAATTATTAAATCATTAACCTTTCTATCTTTAGGCATACATATATGAATCTAATTGATCAGTATATTTGTATAGTAAACTTTTTAGGCATAAAAACTATGTATTGTACAAGAATATAGTAGTAGTAAACTGACCTGTATTTAATTTTCCCAAATTAAAAATCTCTATCGATGGTTGTGATAAATATGGAAGTCTAAATGTCAATATGCTCGCAGAGTAAGTTTGTGAGAATGCCAACTTTGCTGAAAAACTATAAATGAACTGCCAAAACCAACCTAACCTAGCCACAGTTATAATGACAACTAACAGGTTGGCAAGCTTGATCAGCTGTTTAACAGTCAGTTGTAGTAGCGTGAAAACAGCTGACTCGGACGACTGTGACCTTGTTTAGATTGCTGCCAATGCCTATAAAACTTCAAGTGGAAATGAACAGTACAAACCGGCTATGGAATGCAGCAGATTCGTGGAATTCTATTTATGAAAACTTGCTAAAATGTTTATTGTTTTCGTAGTAGATACCAATTAGGTAATACATACATTTATAAACATTCTCAAGGGAATATATTAATTTATTTTATTTTTTAACTAGTCACATATAAACGGTCCAAGTCCGAAATACTTGAATCTCCTATAATTTATACAGTAGTTAAATTTACACCTAAAAACAAAAAGTAGGCTACGTCAAAGATGGAATATTATTTGATAATGGTGGCTTTTATTCCCTAGTCTATGTTGTAATTCAATAGTTCTCTTATAACTTTGCAGCTGCAAAATGGAGGAGTTATACAAATTATTCCGAGGGTCTTTGCTTAAAAATAAAGACTATATGAATGTCTTTTCTTAGTTAACTTCTCAATAGAAATGATAAAAATCATATAACAATATTAATATCGTGTAATAATATAACAAAGTATACAAACCTCGAAGGCTGGACCCTGTTCATAGTGAACTCGGGAGCGTGGACGTTAAGGGATTTTTGCCCCATCCCCATTCCCTCGTGGCGCACACCTGCAAAGAGATTAACAATTACAGTGATGCCAACATGGGATAAACAACAATAAATATCCCTACTTTAGCGCTGTTTTGCCGTACATTTTGTTTGATAAGGCATGTTAGCAATTTTCGTAATGTACAAACAGTTTGGTAGTATTTTTCATAGATAAACTTATGACAGAAAAATACAAAAGTGTAAATTATAAACGGGGAACAATTTCGTAACAGCGTATTGATGCAAGTTGTTTTCTAACTAAAAGAAAATTGCATGGTAAATCTTTGTTCATTGAATCTATACAGGGTGGTAAAAAGTCCCTGGACAGTTAAATATTTTAAAAAATAATGCAGATAGAGCTACAATACTTGGTACAAAGTTACAGGGCATAAAACTCTATTTTAACACATATTCAGTGATCCAATAACTCTTCAGGGGGACGGCCCACAAGGAGTCGGAAGAAAGTCTTAAAAGGAAGCATAGGTCAATATGCACATCAAATTAAAGGTATTTTTTTAGTAGAATACAATGCCGCAAACCGGACTTCAAAAGGTTGATCCTGCGCAAAATGACAGATGTTCAAAGATTTCTTGAATCCGCCATTTTGAATCTTTGAACGACTGTCATTTTTTACTCAGGCATTATTTTGAGCTTGAATTTACGGCATCGTAATCTACTAGTGAAGACCTTTAATTTGATGTGCATATCGACCTATGCTTACGTTAACAATTTTCTTCCGATTCCTAGGGCTGTGCCCCCTGAGAAGTAAGCGTATAATAGCAATGTAAATTAAATGAATCTTTGAACAACTGTCATTTTGCGCAGGATCAACCTTTTGAAGTGCGGTTTGCGGCATTGTATTATACTAAAAAAGACCTTTAATTTGATGTGCATATTGACCTATGCTTCTATTTAAGATTTTCTTCCGACTCCTTGTGGGCCGTCCCCCTGAAGAGTTATTGGATCACTGAATATGTGTTAAAATAGAGTTTTATGCCCTGTAACTTTGTACCAAGTATTGTAGCTCTATCTGCATTATTTTTTAAAATATTTAACTGTCCAGGGACTTTTTTACCACCCTGTATGTTTATCCACATCTTCATGTGTAGTTTTGTATTCAGTATAAACCAATCGGAATGGTTATAGATTAAGAAGTCATAAAAAGATATATCAAAGTCGTCAGCATTTCTGGGAAAAGTGTACCGGTAATAAAACTTAGTTACAATTAATTTCAATATTAAATTGTTATACCTTGCTGTGATGCTGTAACTATAGTTTATTATTCTGCATTAAAATAAATTAATAAAGTTATTTTATTGGTAATCGAATTAACACATTTTTTTCAATTTAAAGAGATAAGCTACTGTTTTACAAATAATTTAGTTATGGTTAATATACTATGTAAAGCTCATAGCCATATGTGTAAATGAAATAGAATTTCCCTTAATATTAATTAGAAGAAATTTTGTTAGCCTAATCATTTGCGTTGTTATATTGTGTGTGTTGTCTATGTTTTGTAGTATGAATTGTTTTCTTGCTTTGTTTATTGTAGATTGTTTAAGTAGATTGAGTAGTAATTGTTGTATTGATGTAATAAAATTAGGATTATAAGTATAATTAATTGACGAGACACCCTTTACTCAAGTATTTTATGTAACGTATATTTTTGTGTACATAAATTAATTCGATTTGAAGACAGTATCCAATATAATAATCCAATTTGCAAAGTTAATGACTTTTAATTTTTCTGAGGTTAATACAATACATCATAGTCAATCACGAGTGTTACATTATTCCATTTAATATTGGGAGTGTGTTTTCTACCTGTAGTTTATAAACGATGTTTATACTTTGTAAATAATTCGTAACTTGACTAAAAAACTTACTCAACGATTGAATCAAAGACTGCATGAACGCTAAAATATTCTCTCGTCAATTCTTTCTCAGCATACAGGCATAGTGACGATCTCTTTACTAACACAATATAAGTTCTAAAACCAAAGTTCCACCAAAATGGCGCTCCTTTTTATAAACAACCACTTCTAAAACCACTTCCAGAACTCACTGTTCACATCACTAAATTTTCACCGCAATTCAAACTTTGCGAAAGTGACACTGTAACCGTACGAGGCGCGCACTGATGAACAACTGAATTTGGAACTGTGGGGACGAACCGGTTACAGGACGAGTGGAACGCCGGGAATGAGCCGGTCCCGAGCAAGAACATCGCCAGCCCCAATCAGTGCAATTATCAGTTCCTTTCACCTCACTTTCCTCTCAGCAGGGTCGTTGGTCTGTTGCGTGTAGTACAAATATTTGGTTTAGTACGGTAAATCTACACAAACACGAACGAGCAGGGTAGTAAGATGAACAAACATATTGTAATTCGATGGATTTTTAATGTTCTGCACAGATTCGTACAGCTATACACATGTATACCCTATATGAAAATTTTTATCTACCTCATTACAAAAATTAGTACCACATCGTGGCTTAAAATCAAGTAAACCCCTAATTAGTATGTTTTAAAGTTCTCCTACGCCTTTAACCCAGTTCAGTGTAAGGTTTTATATTTTGCAAGTAATCGTTCATGTAGAGATGTACTCGTATAACGAAGGGCCAGGACTTAAGAATTATATAAAGAGGAGACGGTAACATCAACATCCAGCTAATCAATGGACTTTTATCTAAGTGGTCCTGATAATGCCGCGAACTTGTGGAAGAAACACCCTGTCGCAGCAAGCCTGCAAAAGCGAATTTCCATTTGCTGAAATCTTGTAACTAACAGCTCTTTGGGATATCAAAGAGTCGATTTTCCTAATGCAAAAACATTGCGGGAAGATCTTATCACAGAAGATAACCGTAAATCAAATGTAACATTATCATCAATAAGTGTAGAAACTGTTTGTGCTTGTATTGTGCATCGTGTAAACAGAAGAATGAGGAAGTCGGCGATACCGGTACTAGGTCAGTTAACCAATGAGATAACATTAATGATACTGTATATATACGACGAGTTTCCTGTCGTAACTACAACACTATCTTGTAGGCTGTGGACACTTTCGCTAACGTACCCCTCGGTAAGGGCATTTTCGCTTTCTTTGACCTTTCGAACAACACTTTCACTTACGAACGTTAGGAACATTCGCGGACATTTTCACTTTCTTACGTTTTGGAAGCACACTTTTGCTTACAACCCTAAAACCATTTTCATTTTAAACAAATCCTAATGAAATTCACTTTTTGACCCTTTGAAGGACATTAGTTTGCTTAAACGAAAACACTTTTACACATTCTCAAACTAAATGGGAACATTTTAAGAATACTTTGTTTTAATTACATCGCTAACGATATACAATTTAGTGTTTTCTGCCACACAGTACAAAAACTATTAATTTATCCAGTCCAGAAATGGTTAAACAATTACAAAACGCACAGTTTATTCCTCAATTTATGTCTATATCACTGGCATTATAATAACTTTTTGTCGAAACACATTTGAAAGATTAGTGAGTTTTATCAGTTTTACGACATTGCCAGAGGAAATATTTCGAAAAAACTGAGTCAAACTACAGGGGGCAGCGCATACAGTTAGTGAGTCACTTGCAATTAGCGGGTGAATACAGATAATTGTTGTCAGTGGGAGTTGAATACCCGAGTCAGAGTTGTCTACAACGTACTGCAACGTACTGTTCTAGTTGACGTTAACATTGAGCAGAGCATTTATTTTGGTCATTCGAGCCGGATGGTGAATGGACAACTTCAAAACAAATCTCTGAATATTTCAGATTCGATGGAATACTAACGAAATGAGCAAAAACTTGTCATAAAAGAGAAATAAATGTTAAATAAATTCATCACATTTTTGGATCAAGTTAGTTGCGAAACAAGTAAATACAAAACTCGTAGGAGAGAAGATGTGATAAATGTTAAGTGTAAGGACCGTAATCGTAAATCGTTTGCGTATTCACAGAAGCAGGTGATAGTTGTGTATGTTGTGGTGGGGAGTGTTAATTTATTTGTAAACACGATGTCTAACTTCTCAGTTGAGTTTGAGTTGAAGGCTGTTGAGTAGGTCGAGGCCACAGTTCAACGACCCCGCAGGATTTAAGAATGGCGAAAATTTCACTTCCACTTTCCAACTCAATCCCACTCAATTTTTAATTTTACCAGTAAAATTTCGTAAGCGTATTTAGAAAGACGACTGAAACAAGGGGGAATTAATTACCCGACTGGGAAATATTTATCTTATATTGATTTAATTTATTGCAGTTTGTTAGTCACATGACGAAAATGTGCCTATATTATTAGCCTGAAAAACTCAAAGAAAAACATAAACAATAGTAATAATAATACTACACGTCAAAGTCCAACAAGTACTAAAACGTTTGAAATGAAATCATGTGTTCAATAATGAGTATGGTTTGGTTAAATATCAACGCTACACATGCGATGGCAATTTTTCTATAGACATCTGTCTATAAGTACATTATTAGTTGTAATTATTCTAATTATTAGCCAGAATCCAGAATGAGGTTTCAAATTGTTTCGAAACTTGTGAACACGCTCGAGAAGATAATAACAAATGTGTTATCACGAATATTTGGACAGAAACTGTAGGACCATAAATATAATCTGATAGCAGTTACAGTTTGGTTGGACTTTTTTCGACAGTTCCATTTAAACATTAATACAAACATTCGGGCTAGTGACGTCATTTGTTTATGTTTATGATCACTACAGTTTAATACCTGTGGTTTATTCTAAGTGAATTATTACTGATAAGATGAACACGAATGTTTTAAATATCATCTCTCGTTGTTTTGTGACCTAATGTTGGTACTGAAATTATTTTCCTAAACTGTTGGCAGAGTAACAGAGATGCAATACCAGTCCCTACTTGGTCCCTCCAAATAAGTACCTACACAGTATTGAAAAGTAGAAAGTCGTGCCTGTGAGAAATATCAGACCTTCAAGCAAAAACTGGTTTCAACTGACACTCCTTGCACAAAAAAGGACTGATCACGTGTAAAAAGCGTACAAAAATTGTTCACGTTAAAATTAATTAGAAGCTTGGATGCAGGTTGGTTTCTGGCTAAGGAAACCACAACAGTGTTCAGTAAATATATTTTTTTATCAATTTAAACGCTTATTATTCTTGATTAAAATTCAGATATATTACTCAAACAAAAAGCTGGTAATCGTTCAAATTAAAATCAACTTGAATTTCCAGTTTCCTTCATTGAATCCTAATGCATTATGTTCATGCATAGTGTCAGACAATTAATTGTGTTAAGAAACATATCCTAATATAAGAAGCGCAAATCTTTTTCTAAACTAAACATAATGAAAATTATGATTTTTTTCATATTACAGTACTTGAAAGACTCTCAGCAATGTTGAGACAAAATTAATAATTAGTTAATTTAGAATATCAATACCCAGTATGGACAATACAAAATTATTAGGGCAAAATTAAAACACTTTCCCGACACATTTAACCGTCATCCGATATATGTATAATAGTCCGAGAAATATAGGATATGATATGACATGACCTTAAAAAATTGCAAGACAAAGTTTTATGGTTTTATTTTGTAGTGTTGGGTTTGCAGAACGACATACTAAAAGTTGCTAAAAATCGGTGCACAAGAAAACCACTAAAATCACAATTTAAAATGGCGGCTTTTCCCAACATTGAAAACATTTTGAAAAAAAGATACTACAAACATAGTTTTATGAAATCTTTTTGAGAAACTGACTTGGGACCACCGCCGATATTTATTGGGTCGTTAGTACCTGAACTGTTTTGTACAAGAGAGTGAATGAGGCTGAACCTGTCTTCCTATTAACGACGACCAGCAGTTAACGCTTGACGTGGACGTGATAGGTGACTAAAATAATAGAACTATTTCACATATTACTCAAAAGCTGAGGAACCATTCTAAATATTATTACAAAGTAACGGTATTTCCCATCTCCAGATTGCAATAAACTTGGGGCTAGGAGAAGTCCCCTGCAGGTGATGAACCAAACGCTACTACTAGTATAGGGCAAAAGCTCTTGCACCTGGTCAAGGGCACAGGTTTAGGCCTACCCAGTTAGTGGCAAGTGGGACAGGCATAAAAAATACCTTCATTCCTCTACCTTGACTTCATCCGGTATTGCTTTGCATTTCCTCCAAAATAATATTTGCACCAAGGCATACTGCCCCGTAAGGTAAACTTATAGGCTAACTTCAGAAGGCACTATTTCTACATATTATGTACATATGCTTACTTGGGGGCCGATACACTTCCAGGGTGGGGTGTTTCTTGTTACTAGGCATATGACTGAACCGTCTTCTTGGATCTCGGATCTGAAACATTTTGTGATATCCAGTTTAAAAACACAGATAAATAATCTTTCAATCAGAGATGAACTTTGTGAAAGTATTTAATTGATTATTTTTTGAGGAATAAACCTCATAAAATATACAATAAACATCATAAAACTAAACTAGTAATTAGTAACAACTGATGATCCATTAGGATCATGTTTTGTAAAATACAATTAGTTTTAAAGGTAACTTTAGGTAGCCTCAAGATGACCGAGATAAGTTCAGTGAACACATGTTACAAAATAAGGGAAGCATATACCTTCGTTTACCTTTATATACCTTTGTAAAAGACACCCTATACAACATTTAGCCTATGAACAATTCTGAACTGAGCTCTTCTGTAAAATCACAACTCTTCTACTTATAGTGTAGGCTTATGTGGCCTAGGCATATTTTACTTATAAAATAATAATTTTTTATAAGCACCACTGGCAACAAATTGTTACATGCATTTTACATTTAATTTCATTGTTATTGCCTTTACAGTAGGCTTGATTTGCCCGCAATTATACTGAGGCTAATGTATAATACGGGTTTTTTTCTCAAACTACTGTAGGCCTATAACCATTTAGGTTATGTACGGCAATGCTTAAATAGAGTTTACATATACAGTGTGTAAATTAAGTATGGAAACAAATCTGTATTTTTAAAACCGAAATAGATAGAAATATTCTATTTGTGGCAATAATAGTTAACAAAGATTCCGCAATTTTTCACATGAAAAATATTTTTTTACCCCCCTAACAGGGTAGGTGGTAGGGGGTGACTTATTTTTTTCAAATAGCAACCCCTATTGAGTGACCCCTCATTTTGAAGAGTTTGTCAAAAGAAACACAATGACGCAAATCCGAGGTGAATATCTCACTCCTAGCCCAAATGGCGGATATTCCAAAATTTGATTTATTGTACGTGAAAAGCACCAATTTCACAAATAATGGAAAGAAATCTGTATTTTTAAAACCGAAATAGATAGAAATATTCTGTTTGTGGAATTGATTGTTGACATAGGTTCCGCAATTTTTTTAATCAACAATATTTTTTCAACCCCTTTAACAGGGTAGGGGGTAGGAGTGACTTATTTTTTTCAACAACAACCCCTATTGAGTGACCCCTCATTTTGAAGGGTTTGTTAAAAGAAAAAGAATGACGCAAACCCGAGGTAGATATTTCACCCCTAGCCTAAATGGTGGGTAATGAAAAATTTAATTTTTGTAAAAAAGCCCATTTTGGAATATCAGCCATGTTAGCTAGGAGTGAGATATTTACCTCGGATTTGCGTCATTGTGTTTCTTTTGACAAACCCTTCAAAATGAGGGGTCACTCAATAGGGGTTGCTATTTGAAAAAAATAAGTCACCCCCTACCACCTACCCTGTTAGGGGGGTAAAAAAATATTTTTCATGTGAAAAATTGCGGAATCTTTGTTAACTATTATTGCCACAAATAGAATATTTCTATCTATTTCGGTTTTAAAAATACAGATTTGTTTCCATACTTAATTTACACACTGTATAGGAATACTATAATCGTTATAATTAAAGTATTACTAACTAGTTAGGTTAAACATTATTGTGTACTAGTGTACATGTTGCTCGAAATCGAGCAATTGCAAAGAAGTAAAGTAGTTATTTAAAAACAAATAACGTATTTACAAACTAATAAAAGTCATAATTTTCGATGAGTTTAAAAGACTCAACTCATAAATTATGTTCCTAACAGTTCCATATAATCAACATTTCTTGTAAATATTTGATCATTTTTCAAAAGCTGATCTGGGTTTTTAGTGTATTCTACATATATTGCCCACTTATAGCCGCATTAGGTTCTCCATGTTGATCTTCGTCAATGATAACTACACATTGTCGCTAGTACGTTTACAAATTTAAGTCATTTTTTTATAGCGATAACATTTTGTTTTCATTACTTAAGAACTGCCTGATTTTCTGCATAACCTCTCTATCACAATTGTATTTGCTTCAATAGGCAATAATTTGGCTAGTTACTGTTATAACGTAAGTTATATCATTGAGTTACACGTATACTTAATTATATACGTGTATACACAATGCTTATATTTACCTGAAAAAATGCAGAATTGAAAGGCCTAATGTTGTTCACATGGTTTTTTGTTTCTCTTAAATGTGAATAATACAAATCCTTCAATGAAAGGATTAAGGTTTCTTGGATGTAGTCATATTATTTGAAAATCACTTGACTTTTATGAAAGCATATATTTAATGTCCTTGCCGTACCAGTTTAATACAGCCTTAAAGTGTTTTACTTTGCCAATCATCATAAATTTAGTAAAGTACGTGTTTCCTACAAAATAGTAACACTTCGGCTATCATCCTTGTTCATTGTTTGTGGGAATCTTCATATTGTAGGCGTTCTTCATTAATTGTCATGGGGGAGGTAAAATATATCAAATTGCCCAGGCTTTCTCGATTTTTTACATTGTAAATTAAAGTAGTAAATATTTAATTTCAACAAAATTGGTAAATGTACGGCCAGTGAGTTTTGTTGAATTGAAAAATAAATAACAGCAATTAAATTATACAGCTGATCAAAATCTAAATAATTATGTTCTTCATAAGGATAACATGGGAACTTTCAAATCCACTGGGGCAGAGCCCAAGGGACTTTTTCAAAAATGTAAGGCCAGTTTGCAAATCTACGCGACTCGCTCTTTCCAATGAGACGTCAATGGATCAAATCGGTTAAGAAATGGCGGAGGAGTTCAACCGACAAAGTTTCATGTAGCGTATTAATTATATAGATTATAGATTATATGTATTATTAGTCTGTGACTTTAGAGAAATTAATCACCGACGGAAAAGAGATCAAGATGGCTGTGGCAGTCGTTTTATTTGCGTGGGAAATTATCATGAAAGTCGCGGGCAAACGGCAAACGGGCAAACCGACTTGCCGACCCGGGTTAGGTAAATGCAAAGGCCAACAAATTTACTGTTTAACCTAGGCTAAAAACTTTTCGGATACTACAGGCCTACTAAAATAGCCTAATTAATCACTAAACTTCGCGCAAACGGCAAGGTTCCGATATATGATCTAACATTTGTTATTATTCTAAATCAACCAATAAAGTACCGGTAACCTAAGATCTATTGACTATTGAGACCTCACTTAAGTGTAGATTACCCTACGTAAATAAAAGACTTCTACACTACTACCATAGATAAAACATACTCTGATTAGATTTATAATATTGCGTTACGTTCTATGGGAATCTATGCAAAACAAATAATTCTACTCACTAATAACAATCGCACTAAAGTAAATCCTAAATTGTACAGAGCTGCCGAAAAAGCTGCCAATGCAAAGCACTATTTGCCGGTAGGTGGTAGTTCAAAAAGAATCCGCGCCGGAAAAGAGATGAAGATGGCTGTGGCAGAGGTGTGTATTTGCGAGGGAAAACTATCAAGGAGATTAAGAAAAAGGATAGCTTGCAGAAAGGCCTAATATAATGTTAACCCTAGCCCAAGAACATTTCGAATATCTAATTAATAAATGACTAACTTCGAGTAAACAGCAAGGTGCTGATGATCTAGCAGTTAATACATATATTCTAAATCGACCAATTTTAGGGACTGATTTGATCTATTGAACCCTCACCATAGAAACTAGTCTATTTAGGCCTACTTCTACTTGTTCAGATTAGGCCTACTTGTAACTAGGCTACAAAAGTTTAGTATACATCATTATTATAAATTACATATCCTAGTTTGGGAAATTGTTTTGAACAAATAAAACTATGTTTAAATATATCATGCTGTATCAGTGAAAAATATTATAAATCAACCAATAAAGTAGCGGTAATGACCTATAAGATCTATTGAGGCCTCACTTAGGTGAAGACTATGTGACTAAAAAACTAAGTTTAATAGTACTACTCACCAATGAACCCATCACAACGAACGAATAAAAAACACGAAAGGCACAACTGTGTTTATGCTACCCTAGAATAGAAGTGTCAAGCAAGAAGAATAATTGGAAGAGAAAGGTTAGGTTAGGTGAGCGCGCCTAGCGGCCAGCGGGTAGTTCAAATAGCCACCTTAGCGCATGCGCATCCTTCGATTAGCCTACCAATGAAAAACAGCCATGATCCCTTTATAGCCCGCTGCCATAGACAAAAAGGCAAAAAAGCTTAATTATTTTTTGTCCATGCCGCTACAACTAGTGAACCAAATAAAATACGGTGCTGCAACAGGAAAATAATAGGAATTAGAAACGTAGCAAAAGGTCACATTAATTAACTGTAAAAAATATGAAGCCGGTCTAACATTAAAATGTATAAGTGCACTTGAATAAACGTTAATAATTTTTTACCAGAAACGTTAGCATTTTAAACTGAAAAGTAATATTTTATCTTTCTAAAATTATATTTATTAGTATCTCTGTGGCAATGCAATTTTTATCTACGACCTACGAACCTTAGTAGGCTGAGAGTTGGTAATTTTATTGTGTTTCATATTTTAACTCTTATTAGTTACTTTTCATATTGAAAATACAAGTGCTACTAACTTAATTGTAGAGACTTTAACGGGTAACGGGTAAATGCGGCTGGATGTTAAAAACTGTGGTTGTATTAATTTTTGCTTTAACCAACCCACTAAAATAAATATTGAAACATTTTGAAAATATCCACATATAGACAGTCAAAAACCAAATGTAAGTCAAGAATTGCCTTTACATAATATGAGTGATTAGATCTTAGAGGTTTAAAGAACCGTAATGAGGACAAAAATCATTTCCAAAAATTAAATAAAACAAATTTCTATATTTTCCCCACATGGATTTAGTAATGCCTATATGTTAAACACACAAACATCTATACTATTATAAATAAACAATAAAGAGTTGTATTTAATATAAAATTTGCATTTTAAATGTTCAATGGAATTTCTATTTAGCGACATAAACATAATTAAAAACTTAAAAGTACAAACTAATTAGATTAAAAGACATGGTAGGACAGCGTACAGTTTTATCATATCAATGTGTATGAATGACTTTGTCATGATTATCTGTTGCAATAGACTCCAGTACGTCATTTTTATTTTCCCACATTTCTGCAATACAAACAGTATCAGTGATTGCCATCTTGAAACTACCCAAAACTAATGTTAACTTCAGTGTTACGTCTCTTGCGATTGTTCTAAAAATATAATTTTTGTCAAATTAAAGGTAAGTAACTCGTCTAGCTAATAGATTGACTAAACTGTTCATTACAAAGCTAAATTTGGAAATGTAAATAAATTAGTGAATTATAAATAATACGATTTTATTCAATCAACACTCATCTTTCACTGGAAATCACGTAAAATACAAAAAAATCCAAGTATAATCCGTTGAAAAATATGTGTAATCTTTTGGCAATGTTTTACAAAATTCATAATAGGGATTAGCGTTTATACAAAAAGATATTCATGTTTCCGTCTTAACAGCAAACCTTACTTATCGAACATACTGTTACTCATAAATACACAGGAAGTATGCATTTCCTTTTTATTTTGGGCATGTTTATTACTGTATTACAATAAATCAACCTCACATTCGCCTACTGCGCAAGATTTTTTGAAACAGAAGTATACTAATATTTTTACCTACGACCGTTTTTTAAAGTGGCCGTTTCAGTACAGTTCTTAGAATTGAAAAGCATCTCATAACAGCATTGTTTACTTTCATAACAGCATGTTTTATCTATGGTTTTACTCATAACAACACGGGTAACGGACCAATGAGGTTCAAGGATTAAGAGAGGAGAAGTAAAATTGTAATGATTCAAAATTCAACTAATCAGCTGTTCAGGCCAATTTAATTGTTGATTGGTGCAATTAGTGTGTTTCGTTGCATCACTGTCAGTGGCAATAGGAGGTTATAAACGAAAATATAACCTCTTTTAGAAATTATGAATAGTGATTTTTAGTAATTAAAACAATGTCGTAGGTAAAGTAGTGTACGCAACTCGCGTAAAAAATGTTAACGACACTCGTAGAAGTTTTTAAGGCACTCGCCAAGGCTCGTACCTTAAATTTTCTACTCGTGTCGTTAACACTATCTTTACGCAATCGTTGCGTAAACTACTATACCGTTGTATAGTTGTATAATTCCGTATAGTTTAGTGTTGATATCGATCCAGTTATCCCGTATATTGTGACAGTAATTATGTATAAGAAGATCAGAGATTGGAGGGGTGTGGGGAGGGGGGGAGAAACCATACAAAGCGTTCTTTGGTGACAACATTCCGTTGGACATTCAAAATTTATTCAACGTAGCCTTAAATTCGTTATTCTGTAAAGTACTTTTTGATTTTTACTCTATGCTAATGCAGTACCTACATTCACAGATACACTTTTGGAAAATGTAAATTAGATGTCCTATTATTTTCTATAGCTCTTATTTTATCTTCCTCTTTCTATAATAATTGTTGAATTATACATTCATACGCTGTGCTGTGGGTTATAAATAGTTTATCAATATAAAAATAGGTTTGCATACCTTTACGTCATTCTAAATTGATTGATGAAAAAATAGGATTGATGACGTAATACGGTATGTTATACTATTTTTTTGTCCTCAAAAATTAATCCTGGAGGCAATGATGAATAAAATAGTTAAAATACGTTTACACTGTGCATAAAATATTACAAAATAACAACACTGCGTCCGATTTTATATTTACCACCTATCCAGACACAATTTAACACTTGGAAATTGTTCACTATTTTGGCTAAGCCCAGAGACTCGTACCATCATTTATTGACTTTTCGCAGAACTAAACCCAAGATTTTCTTTCAGATTGTTAGACTATAAACCCTTAAATATTCATGGATGTTTTACTAAACAATTCAATTAAGTAGTTGTATAGTAGATTCATGAAAATGACATCTCTTGATTCCTACACTACTTTTAACCCAGTACCTGGTATCGTACCTAACTTTAGTATGAAACAAAAATCAAAAGATCCATTCTCCTGCTCCATAATCAAAAAACTTATTACCCCGCAATTAAAATCCAGGGTAGGTGAAATTCCGAAACACCTAGATACAGCCACACAACTATTTGCTTTACCCTAATAAAGTGATTTCCACTTTCTGCCGATACACCAAACCAGTCTACAATGTTATAATTAATACTATTCCCACAAGTTTTATCCCACAATCTCTAAACTTCCTGTCTTTCACGCGGTTCCTCCACTTCCTTCCGGCTCCGGCGTCTTAGCTTCGACAGTGAATGTACACATGCAAAATTAACCATTGGACAAGGAAAACATTTTATTTTACTATTAGCGCACTTCAAAATTCGATTATACTATCACGTAAATCCCCACCATACTCTGTAGTAAATAAAATGTTAAAATATATCGAATAGTGTGGAAGACGAATTTTAATTTAATCCGCACGATTTTGTTAATTGTCACTTTTCACTTACTAGCTGATTTTGCAAAATTTAAAATAGTATATATTTCATAACTTGGTCCTTAAGTGTATATTTTCGATCAAGGCGTAGCCGAGGTTGAGGTTTGGAAAATAAATCAAATTTCTGTAAATGTCAAAAAACTCCATATGATTGTTTACAATTGCTGTAATGCCTTTTATCAGACCTGATTTAATTATTAGTTAGACACATGGCTGGTCTTGAATAGCATAAAAGTTACTTATTGTATTCCTTTGTTGAATGGCAACAAATAATGTTGAATGGCTTCACTAAACAGCTTCTTATCGTAATTTTTAGTGTGATATTAAACGGTAAATATATAAAAAAATGCGTATGTCCACCCTTTGGGTATGATGACTGGAGTGGAGTGTCCAATCGAAATCGATCACCACATTCCATCTTTTAAGTTGTGTTTTTTATCATCTTGTAATTGAACAGTTACAACAGTACAAGAGTACATCAGTTTTAAGACGTTTTTTATTTACTTTCCGTTATGCACTCACATGAAAAATTGAAAAGTGTGTCGGGGAGTGTAATTTTTTGTCTGTTTTGCTCGATTTCGAGCGACCTCACCTGCAAGTTGGGCTGTTGGTGGAAGAACTGCGGCATCGGGTGTCTGATGTTCACTCTGTTGAGGGAGAAGTCCATCTGGGTGTAGCTGCGGCGTAGCTCTCCGCCCGCCATCTACACAAAATCACTATTTTAACATTCAGTTCCACTAAATATTTCCTTATAGTCCAGGCAAATTAGATCAAATATAGGGAGTGCTCGCCAAAAAATCGTCTAAAGCTGGAAAGTGTTTTAATACCTTTTGGGGGTCCCAAATAAGAGTCATGCGAGTTTGCGACGGATTCTAACGTCTGCTTAAGTTTTGGGAGTCGAAAAACTATGCAAATTTTGCACTTTTTTCAGTTTTTCACTTATAACTCCTAAATAACGAATCCTGCGGAAAATGTTGTTCAAAGGTATCTTTTAGTACATTAATTTATGCGTCGATTGGTGTTAAATACGTCAAACTCGGCCGAGCCGTTTAGCCGCTGTAGCTTTTTAAAGTTGGATCATTTTCATCAACATGGCCAAAAAGTTGATTATTTGACCAGTTTTCGGCTTACGACTCCTAATCGACGCTTGCTATACAAAAATGCACCTGTAGTTAGTTTGGAAAACACAACATTCTGCGTAACATGTTTTTTTACCAAATCAATAATGGTAATTGATTGCTACCTACTTTGTATAGTCGCCATTTCATTGAAAAAAATATTAAAGTAAAAGTTGAAAAATTTTACTAAAATTAATATTTAATATTAATATTATTTCAATGAAATGGCGACCATACAAAGTAGGTAGCAATCAATTACCATTATTGATTTGGTAAAAAAACATATTACGCAGAATGTTGTGTTTTCCAAACTAACTACAGGTGAATTTTTGTATAGCAAGCGTCGATTAGGAGTTGTAAGCCGAAAACTGGTCAAATAATCAACTTTTTAAAACTGGGCTACTTAGCATTCTGTAAAATATCGATTATCGAATGCCATGCCGTCGAAACTATGCGTGAATTCTCCGAAGGACGTCACTGACCCCACGTACTATTTTACCTCCGCGTACTACAAATACTCCCTCATACTATTTGCATTTTCGAGGAATATTTGTTGGGGAATCGCCAGCAAGGGAATGCCCCGAATACCGCATTGTTTACACTGGGGATGTTGACCAACTAAGAGTAGAACTCTAAATCTAAAAGTGCCGTTGTAGTTCTATAAAATTTAATTGCTGCTTGAATGTTACTTTACCATTTTGGTGTTTGATGTGATAGTCAATTATTTGTACTTTTTTGTTTTATAACACTAGGCATTATTTTAAAAGTATTGACAATGGAAAAATGTTTAAATTGCAAGAGTTTTATGCAAGTAGGGGGACAATGTGATCATTTCCCGTGATCGGATTTCTTACTACACACTATTTTGGAACAGAACCAAAGGAAAGCTGTCGCGATTGTGCCAAATTCCCTGGTTTTAATCCTTTACATAATTCGCGTACATTTTCCAGTTTTAACAGATATTAAAGACTAGCGTTTTAGCCAAATGGGGGTTATTGTGTAATGTTTGTAGTATACTTCTCCTTTGTTATTTCTCGTAGTTGTCTTCGCAAATCTAATGCAACGTCACCGGGCGGAACAGGAAGTAGGTGAATAGTATTCCAAAGACGTCCTAGTAATTGACATTCCTTACTGCAATTGTTAACATTCCAAAGTCTATGACTGGCACTGCCTTTACCGCACCGATGGTCTTTGAACGTCTTTGGCGCAGTAATATTATATTTGTACACTCCTTTTATCTTATTTCCTCAGAATGGATCTTTTATGAAATTAGTCATATCGTGTTCTTTCTACACCACAAGCCCGCAACGGACTTGGGGAAATGCCAGGAGAAAATTTAAATAGTTTTTATATAAAAAGGTGTTTTGTTTGATCATTTCCTACATTAAAAAGTATGCTATGTACTAACATTGACTATACACCTCTACGTAGACGAGTCAATGGTAATAACGCTAACTCTGTCAGGTGGCTAGCAGACGACAGAACATTAACATATGTATGCAACAGACGTAGGCAGGCACTGTATGAATCATCCGGCTACATTGCTTGGCTTCATGGTTAAAACTATCACTGGTAGAAATTTGACTCAGATTCAATGTGGACTTCATGAAGATATCGGTTATTTAATCTCTACTTAACTCTCATAATTTCGTACTCTACATTCATCGATATTTTATCATCGCCAAAACAAAGGATTAAACATCCCTTAAAGCCGATTTTTACATTAGTATGCATTTGTTTCTTTCTCTGAATATTTTATCAATATCAAAAATGTTTTTTATTGTTCTGGTGAATTGTAAATTTGTAAGCTTCAAGTCCGGTTGGTAAGGCTTCACTTCTCAAAATTACGTATTAACGGTGTTACGTACTATCACTATGCCAAAAATTACTATCTGCCCAATATCACAATATGTAAAACCAAAGAAACGACAGGATGTCACTGAATTGTTTCTGCATAATTTAAGGACACGCCTTCAGTTAGTAACGTGTTATGTAAACTTTGTGGCATCTACGTAGGAGTTCTTATTACTTGTGGCATGTGTTTGTTTAATTCACATAAGGAAGGTTAGGTTGAAATTGTTCTGAATTTCAAAGTAGATGTAAATATAGAGCAATTTAAATTGTATTTAAGGGATTAATCATCGTGAAGCTGTTTTAGATAGCTAGCTTACTGTTGACCAAACACTTAAAACGTATAAGTTATATGTTTAAGTTAAACTTTATAGTAATGTTGTTAATTTTAAATTTTCTTAAAAACACTTCTTATAATATTGCTTAGAGATTTTAACTAGTCTATCATCAGATTCATTACAAAATGTATTTGGCGCTCTAATAACGATCTATTATTTTAAAACATTTATCAATTTCTTTTAATTACTTTTAAAAATGTATCCCTATTTTCCACCCATATTTCGTATTTAGTATTTGATGTTCCACACAAACGCTATCACGTTTTGCTAACTGAAATAAGCCAGTGAAGAAAATCAATGATTCTACGATGGGAGAAGAAAAAGTACAGTATTTATTTAGAAATTTGATGTGAACGCATTGTTTACATGTTTCCTGATGCAATTTCTGAATTTCCTCTTGATCCCTCCCTCTGTTACTCCCGTATTTTGATGAATGGACGAGTGCGAGTGTGCGTGTGCATGCGCGTGTGTGAGACGACAGTGTCTGAAATAGCCTGGCAGCGGCGTTCGCTAAACAGCAGCAAGCCTTCCTACGATCGCAGCATCGAAACACGTCACATACGTTACAAAATTGACAACAATAACAATCAAACCAGGACTCGAGCCAGTAAAATTAACAATCACATTTCGTCAAGTCATTAAACATTCTCGCTTTTAGATTCAACGTTCATGCATCAGATAATCTTTCTGTCCGGTTTGGATTGGAGTGGGTGTTAGGCCTACTTTGTTTATGATTGTGTACAATTTTTTGTTTCTGCCATCGTTTCAAGTTCATTATCGGAAGTGTATGTTATTTGAGGAATTTTTAGAGCTCAAAACGATTATAGCATAGATGAAGTAATATAAATGTTTAGTAGTAATATGATGTTTATTTATTCTATGATTATAGTAAAGCCACACATTTTTTCCGAATGTACAATTTTTTGTAACCGTTGTTTGTAACAGTAGGGATTATAAACATAAAGTGAAGCACAAATCTTATAATATAATCTACCATAAAATAAAGAGAAACATCTCGCTCTCAAACGTCACCAATGGAACACATTTAAAAACGTAAGCTTTTGCAATTTGATGAGAATTCTATGTTCATTGTACTCACAGAAAAGAAATTCGGCGAGTTTTTACTGCATGGTTTTAAAATAAAAGGGGTTCAATAATTCTTTTGGATTGAATTAAACATGTATGTAAAAAAATGTAGGAGATGGTAGGCCTACATAACAAGCGCAAGTCAGTTTTAAGACGTGGCAAGTCAATAAAAGAGTATGTGATTTAACGGGGTCTCGGTCTCAGAATGGTTATTAAATTAAAGCACACAAAATGAGTCATTATGTGATGAAAGTACTAAACATCATGTTTTAGTTAAAGAAAAATAGGGATGCAAGTAGCAAGTATAAAGTTTCCTACCGAGAAGCTATGTTACTTATGCAATTCGATACTCCCTGGTGTGGATTTAACGTCCGCACGAGTGAGTACTACGACTATCCGCAGTACTATCCTGATAATTAGACCAATTCGTATATTCGGAAAAATGTGGTTCGGATTCCACTATAAACTGTAGGTCCCTTTGCCATTAGCTGTATGGCCTATTAATTAACAGCTGTGTCTAAGGAACATGTCGGCCTTAGTCAACAAGACTACAAGATCGTGCCACTCATCCTACACTCATCTCCATTCATACTTGGCTTAAAATACCTACTATGTATGGTCGCCATTTCATTGAACAGTATTAACAGTATAATTCCACGATACGGACACAAATGTAAAACAAACCTAACTAGTCAATTACTTAGCTAATGAAACCACAGGAAATAGTTCGAGGTTTTGTTGTAACATCGGTTCTTGATTGCAACCGTGGCTTGAACAATTCTTCATTAATCACAAAGAAATTTCTAGTTTAAACAATCAGATTGTTTTAATGTTATTATAATCGTTCGTTCGAGTTTTGGGTGTTATCCGTGGTAAATTTAAATTCATAAAATTTCTTATTCGTGTTTGCAGTGTATCAGTTTGCACAATACTGTTCAACTTACCTTGATTTTCGGGTTCGAAATCTAAGTCGTAATCGTTAGAGGTGGAAACCTCGGTCGAGCTCGTTAAGTCGCTGAAACAGAAACAAACAAAACTGTTCAAGTGTTTGTACTAAACACGGATAAACAAGTAAATAAAAATAGTCTAGAGCCAAACACAAACCAACACCTATAGCTGCTAAGGTAGACCCTGTACACATGGGAGCGTTGCAACGCGCGTTTTGGAGTGGATGGGAGTAAGTGTTATGTATGTTTACTGAGTACTTCTATATAAAATACCTTATGATGGTAATTACTATGTTCTCTTCTGTTGAAATCCATTCCCTAACAATGTTCTCACAAGGTGCTGGACAGGCTTTAACTTTCGTTAAATGAAGCATTTAGCATGCTTTAGTATTTAAAAACTGACGTTCATATCCTCGAAATTAGGTTACAAAGTCAAACAGAAAAAAAACATACGAGCTAAACTTTCATGTAAAAAGTGTTCTTATGGAATTTTCCACGACACAATTAACCGGGACCACTTTACTTTTTTCATTTTGATGTCCACAAATGCAAAAAACATCATTAATTTAATATTTTATAATTTAAATATTAAATTAAGCTGCAACGAGGATATTTTGATTTTGATTTCTTTCTTTATATCTAACTGTCTTACAAAAAAAGTTAGTAAAAACTACCTTTTCGACTTTTATGGCTATGTCGAGACATGCCAAGAGACAAAATTGCTCAAACGCGCGTTGCAACGCTGTCATGTGTACGCAAAGGCTTATCTGAAGCGCGTTACAACGCGCGTTGCAACGCTCCCATGTGTACGTAGCCGTAGACTGCAAGTAACTGCAGTTCTTGCGGTCTATGCCTACAGTCACATATAGGTTTCATTCCTTGTGTGTATTTTAATTTTTATAACGTAAAACTACAGCTCTCGTATCTATGTGTTCTATGAAAAAATAATTAAAGAAAATAAATAGGCCCTACCCCCGCCGCAGCGAGCCTGCAGACTAATCGAATTTCCATTTTTCTGATTGGATTTATAATCAAATATTCACTTAAACATATCAAATGTATTCCTAATCTTTTCATAGCAAAAATACTTCCTTTTTCTCATCTTCAAAAAATTCCAGGTATCCATTGCGCAATACTTTAAATCTACCAATTCCCCGGCATTCCACTTCTTTCTTTCAAAGAAACTTTCATTACAATTCCGTAAAACTATTTAATAGGCTTCCACCTCAACTGAAGGCCGAACAAGATCCAAAAAAGTTTAGAACAGGTCAAAAGTCCATGTTGTTAGACAGATCATTTTACAGTGTCCGTGAATACCTACTTTAGTGGTCATTCACAAAGTCGCGTGCGCCATGTTTAGTTATTTAGTTGTATAGTTTTTTTCAGTGAATTTTTGTTATTAAGATGTACTAAATTATTTTTTTCTTGTATTGACTTGGCTAATGCAAGTATTGTCAGTTTGGCCCAATAAATGACTTATTATTATTATTGTACTTATTAATTCAAATAACATTATGCTAACAAGTATTTTGGTTTGCTGCTACAGGGAAAGGAAAAGGTGTTTACCGGTAAAATTTGAATAGGAGGGACTGGTCAATTTTATTAAAATACATCCATAAAAACAATTTACACTTTACTTTTCCTCATAAAAATAATGTCTGAATTTAAAATTTATGGTTTTATTTTATTTTCTCTCCCGTAACCTTTAAATAACGCTTCGATATACAAAATTGTGTGTTTATTAAGCTCTAAAAGATGGATAAAGTAAAAAAAAATCAGCATTTTCATATTTTAAGCTGCCTCCTACACAAAGAGCTTTTTTCTACATTGGGAAATTCGCAAGTATTTTGCCTTTGGTCGCCACACGTTTAGGGAATTTACAATGAAAATCGGGTGGAATCCATAATTGTTAATCACTATATTGTATTGTGTAAACCATTAAAGCCGCATTTCATCAGTTTTTAAACACTGTATACATTCATACAAGTTGAACACTGAACTGCATTGACAGGTGCAGAACAGAAGGTTTGGTTTGAGTCACAGTTTTGTAAACATGTTTCGACTGACTGGATCTGCGTCGTTGTATTCACAAACACATTTTTTGCATCAACAAGTACTTAAATTCAAAACGTTATAGGCCCTACACATTATTTGCATATTCTGTTTCGCGGAAAATTCAATTTGTTAGAAATGAGGATCGTCGCGTTTTCTTTAAACAATATTCAAATCAAATGATTTTTTACTGTTACCTATTATGTATATCGTATACCCTACAATGTATATGAAAAATAATCAAATCTGTTTACAACTGTGTGTGATTGCAGCTCTCTCTGAATGCGAAACGAGTGAAAATGTTCATTTTACCATCATAATTCTACAATAATTCTAAAGTAATTTTACAAAATACAGTTTGGCTATGTTAGTAAATCAGTAAAATATATAGTTCATTGATTGGAGTCGTACACAACCTTCCATGCAATGGAGCTTGCTGATAATGTAAGCAATGCATACAAACATGAGTTTTCCGAAGAAAATAGAAAGAATTAAGACAATCGCAACAATGAATCACAGTCATATTTTGTTGAATTGTATCATAATAAAAATAATCAGCTGTTCATATCATGCATTGTTATGTTTTAACTTAACTATAAGCATAATATTTAGGACTGAAATTGTGTGTGTATTAGCGAATTTCCCTATAGGGAAGTAGCTATTACCGTAGGTCTCATGGTAAGACCTAAGCCCGGGACCGATTTACTTTTTCATTTTGATGTCCCCAGAGGCCAAAAACACCATTCGTTCAAATTTTTATATATCTATATATAGATATATATATATATATATATATATATATATGTGTCCATCCGCACGATAACTTGAGTAATTTTTGTCCGATTTTGATAAAATTTGGTTTGAAGTTGTAAGGCGGGATAAACTTGAATGAGTTCGCGAACCAGCATGATCGGACTATGGGAACGGGGGTTTATGGGGGTTTTATGGGGTGAAAATAGGTTTTTCCCATTTTTGACCCTAAAAACACAAAATTTCACAATTTCTTTTTAAACCATTTTGTAGAGCTTAAAAAAAACAAATAATTTAGTATATTGAAGCGTTGTTATGCGCCTAATTGTTACGGAGAAAATTCAAAAAAATTGTAATTTTAAAATTCCCATGTTATTCTTATGGAGAATAAGTCAACTGTTGTAGTTTGCTTGTTTATGAACATATTTTGATCAAATTTGGAAAATACATTAATTTCTTACTAAACCACAGTACCTTTTAACATTTTTCATACAAAAAACCTTTTTTACCCCACCCTGTTGCAGCAAACCTAAGTACTCATTAAACTAATTCTGTTTAAATAGGGAATAAATGTGCTATTTTTAAGGAGACATTTTAGTTTAGATCCAATCAGGCAAATGGAAATTCGCTAAGTCTGCAGGTTTGCTGCGGCGGGGGTATTTTTCTTTAACTTAGTTTCTGGATTAACAAAATAGAAAACATACTTAGCAAAAAGTTAAGTGTGTTAAACGTATGAATTCACATAAGTTTCATTGTCAAGGCAGATATTGTTAACTAATCAAATCAGTTTGTAGTTTTCTTGGCTTGATTTAGTGTAAGACGAGTGCCAACTAAATGATGAAATACAGTGAGTAGACATCATAAATCAGCTGTAGAATGCAGCTATGTGTTCTGATGTGTGGACAGAGGGTAAATATAGACGATCGTCCCTTTTAGCGAAACTTGTGACAAAGCCGTAGCTAAATCTCTGATTGGCAAAACTAAAACTCTAAAACCGAATAAATTACTTTAAAAACCACTACATGTACAACCTACAACCTATTGTTAAATGTACAAAAAATAATAGTGTGAGTTGTTTATATACAGCAGGTTAAAGCATGAATAAACACTACCATGAAAATAATAGGTATCGACTCGTACATTTTAGATCTTCTAAAGTGTTTTTGTATAACCATCACAGCTTAACCATTATGAAGTAGAATGCGTGGAAATGTTGATAAAGAATTGTAGTTCAACTTACAAAGGACCAAGCTTGTAAGAGCATTTTAAGTTACACTTCTATACATAGTTTGTGTATTTATTCAACTAGCCTAGCACCAAGAGAGAGTACTGGGACAGAAATAGCATGAATAATATACACAATGAAATTATTTTAGTAACTAACCCCTTTCTGATAAATTTACAATGATAATAATATATATATATTTTTTTTTAATAGTGGTGATCTATGACGTTAAATGTATATTACGCCACACTACATTATTTTGACGAACTTCCCACGCAAGGATTTAGTCCAGAAAACAGCTGTTTGCCGCCAGCTTATTCAAATGGGGTTTCATTGCGTACTACTGTACTGCAATGAGTTTTGCCGGACACCAATCAGCTGATTATACCGAGTCCGGTACACACATTTTGGACGAGTTACGTACGATAGTTTACGCCATACTACTAAATCCGTACAAATCCTTATATATTTCCACCAACTAAAGGACTAAAAATACTTTAGGACTAAAAAATATTATACCGTATTTAGGTGGCAGTGAGTGGTTATAAACAAAAAAATTACCTCTCTTAGAGGTTATGACTAGTGATTTTTAGTCCTTTAGTTGGTGGAAATATATAAGGATTTGTACGGATTTAGTAGTATGGCGTAAACTATCGTACGTAACTCGTCCAAAATGTGTGTACCGGACTCGTATGGTAATCCCGTACTCGACTTCGTCTCGCACGGGAACGACCACACTCGTCCGGTAAACACTTATTTTCAGGACTAGTAACGTAATATACTATAGCATGTGTAATCTTTGGTATTATAATTCATACAATACTACTATAGATTGACCATACTCCCGTATGTTTAGTCTATGATACTACGTAGGCATGGGTTCCGGAAGTACTATATGGGTACTGCGTGTATACTTATCAAGTCGGAAGGTAGTTTTAACGTCAAAATGTCCGGCAGGACACATGGCATTGACGAAAAAATATACTTTAAAGCTCATTCAATCACACTATTTGCTATTAAAAATGTATGTTCGGATTAATTTAGCTGCTCTTTCTACGATTTTGAAAGTCAATGACATAAATTAAATATTCCCCCATATACATTTTTGACCCTGAAGGATCAGCTATAGATATATTTTTGTACATGCAAAATTCAAATGTTCACAGTAATACTGTCGTCTAAACCAACATTAAAACTTTTTTAACTAAATGACACGGTATATTTGTACACCCCATGATATTATTAGAAAATTAAAGTTCTGTAAAATTAACACTAAAGCACAAGGAAAAAATATATTTAGTTCACTTACGCTAACTTAAAATAAACCACTCTTCAAAAAGAGCATTCAATTTTACAAAATGTAAAGTATTTTATCAAAAGTCGATGTTATAAGCGTAAAGTTGTTCCTAACTTACCTTTGTCACCTGCACCTTGTTTACAAAGATAACAAACTGCATCTGGTGTATGATAGCACTGCATTACTATACTACGCTACCACTCACTTACTGGTTATCAGATGTAGTAGTGATAAACTATTATAGTACGCTTCGCTCGAAATCGAACAGTTTGAGTAAACCCGATATCAGTCCATTATACTAAATCATGGTGCTTTATGCTGACACACAAAATACACAATTGCATACTATAGCACAACTATTCGTGCAATGTTCCAAATAAAGATTAACTAATTTCTTAGAATCTCCCTAACAAATAATTTAATTGAATTTTGTTATGATCTAACGGCAAACACACATTTTTCAGTACAGTATTGTGATAGGCCTACATTTCTAACAGAGTTCAGTTAATAGCAGTACCTTCAATTTTATTTTTTTCTTATATTTATATTTATATATTTTACAGTTATATTTTTTTTTCTCAACTCGTAACATCAATGTGTATCGAACCAACCCATTTTATGTGTCCAATTGTGTCGCCGTGTCCATATAATTGTAATTGTTTTAGTTCAATTAGCAATACGTACTACTGTTGCAATAGTTTATCCTTGAGTACTTCTATCATCTGTACAGTTAGTTATTCTCGAGAGTTGTACAATTGCGTGGAGTTAAGATAATTTTAAATTAAACTTCCAGTTTTTGTATTATCTTCACTTTTTTTATCCACATAATTTTGAACTGTAAACAATCTGAATCTATTTACAAACGCTGAGCACGTGAAAGCTCATACATTTATCAGAGTATTTTGATTCTCGCATTAAAAATATGCTTTGAATTAGGCAAACCAATTTTCAACATAATTCAACGGCAAATGACAATATTCTACAACTATTGTTACAGTTGCGCACTTAATTTAAGCAGAGGGTCACCGAAGGATGCGCGAGCTATTTTGACATCACAGCTATATTTAGAGTGGGCGTAACGCGATATTATTCCACATACATTTGATTCACACATTTTACATTGGGTGCATATTAGTTTCTCACTCTTCTATTTCCCCACTTACCGGAAGATGTGAAGTGTCGGTTTAGGCTAGCCATTCAAAGGTCCGCGGAATAGAAACCACCGCACCTCACACCTCCATCTCGAATGACTGAGGTTGGAGAATTCCCCGCTAGAGCGCAGCAGTGCTCGTGGGCGTGAGGGGCTTCATATAGGTTGCAGTTGGCAGTTGGCGACACTGATTATACCATTGTTGGGCAAAGGGAGCGGCTCATTAGCATGTCACATCTGGTTAACGTTATCTAGAGGGAAACAGAAAATCGTCTGGTTTGAGGTTAATCAACTGTTAAGGGGGTTTAAAATAAAAGTTATAGGGGTCTACACATTCTAATACTTTCTTAAACTATTGGGTTGGAAAATATTATTTTGTGTATGAACTAAAAAAACATTATAATTAACTCAGCATATGGTCAAAAATTGGAACAACCGGGGTCAAACTTTTAATAGGTTGAAAATCGCAATTTAAAATTTAGTTCAACCACTTAACGTAGTATTTATTTATTACAAGCCCAATTAGAAACTCTCAATATCAATAGAAATAACTAAAATAGTGTTGAAGTTAAGGAGATTGTGAGAAAGCATCTTTAATTTTGCTATTCGCAATCATTATTGCGTACTTTAATACTTTTCAATGAAATTGCGGCCATACGAAGTAGGTATTTTAAGCCAAGTATAAATAAGGACACAGTTCTTCCTGACCCTCGGATCGAGATTAATAATAACATTTTTACTGAAGGAATTATAGAAGAAAATACTTAAACGCTTTTAGGAAAAGCTGTTCAAACCCATGTGTGATGTGGGTATGCCGAGAATCGAACCCGTCCCTCCCACAACGAAGTCCAAGACGCTAACCACAACCACAAGGCTAGGAACACACCATTGTATGGGCTCTAAATAGGTAAGCAATAAAACAAGTAAACAATTGCTTATTCGCTGTATTTTCTCACATTTAGTACTGTATCACTTTACCGGTCAAATATTTAAACAAAAACCTTTGGTGTCAATAGTACTTTATTAACGCTACATGGTCTATAAGTTTTAGCCTGCCTGTAAAAAAGCAATGAAACAGCTGATTCAATACGTTTTGCTTCTTCTCTCTAAATTTCTGCTTCTGCTTTTAGTTTGTTGTTTATTGTTTTTTGTTTGTTGACTCTGTTGTTGTCGACAGTGACAGTTGACAGTTTGTTATTTTGTTGTGTTACACGCTAAGATTGTGTTTTAGGTTATGAATGCGTTAAAAGATAATTTTGTAACTTGTTATTTGGTGTAATAATACAAACAGAAACTTACCGCACAAGCTAACAATAAACATTCCCCATTTTCAGAGATGGTGATCATTTGATGTTCTTGGGTTTAAACAAAGAATAGCCTAGACCTAGCAGAGAGCTACCGGTACTTAAGTTGTCAAACGAATTCGTAAATGGATAAAAAGGAATTGCTATCTTCACCTATTTATAACAAGGTAGACCTATGTCCCTTAATAGCTTTTATAATATCATAAATATTATTTCATGCATGCAACTAGGCCTACGAAATAAAAGTAGTGTTTGGCTCAGGAATTTGTAAAGTCATGGTCTCATCTCCTAACCCTTTAAAGAATGCACGAAAGAAACGACCAAAACACACTAGGCCTAACTTATTTTAGTAATTAGGCCTAGGCCTACAGGAAGGAGGTAGCTGGCTGACGTTTTCCCTCAAGCCTGGTTTACAAGGGTCAAGTATGTCAGGCGAGTTGTTCGGCCTAGTTACTAGGCCCAGTTGTTGATTTGTTCAACCTGTCCAGTACTTGACTAGACTGTCCACACGTATCCCTATTTCGAACAGGGACAGTGTAGGCACAGAGAAGTAATTTTTGATTACTTCTCTGTGGTGTAGGCGTAGGGTATTCCTCAGTAGACAGATACCGTAGCTTGCGTGTTAAATGTTGTTTGATTTTAACCCTCCCAGTGTTACTTGACGAAAATTCGACAAGCAGCACACTTTGTGTAGTGTTACTTGTCGATTTTTCGACAAGCAGACATCGTTTACGGCAAAGGCTCTATAACTGACTGAATCGGATTGAACTGGATCGAGTTAGGTATCGTTCTTTCCGTTTCATTCTAAGCTTTCTCCAGAGGTCTGTCTCAGCGCTGTACGTTATCTGAGACGATCGTAATATGTAGCAGACAGCTGACGTGCGTGTATTTGTAAACAGCTAGGTTACCCTCCAACCGATGACTGATGTGTTTTATTACGTTTATCATTGTTTTAGTGTTAAAAATCAAAAGTAGTGATATACGTGTTGCATTATAAGAAGATTTAAGTGGTTTTGAAGTGCTGGTTGATGATCCTGAAGAAGTAGGTAGTGATATTGATGTAAATTATCAGCCAGATTCCTAGCTATGGTTAGGCTATGCATTCTTAGCTAAACGCTATGTACTGAAATCTGTTTTTTGCCCATAACTTATTTATTTGCAAATCTACTTCCTTATATTATTATATATTTGTAATCCTCATAAAATTTATAACAAAGTGGCTATTTTCAAATATTTATAGGCCTATAATTTATACAATTTCATTGAGCGCGAACTAATTTTTTTATTGAAAATTTTTGAAATTATATTTTTTTTACCTAAAAATTTTTTTTTTTTTAAATGTTCCTTATGTTTTATATATAATATTGACGCCCATGATTTTCCAAACAAAATGGTAGAATTAACATTGTTTTAAGCTTCTCAGATCCGTTTTAATAAAACCTTGCAAATGCGCCAAAAATAGGTGGACATTAAGGCCTAAACTATGGACACTTGGAGGGTTAAAATGGTCAAGAGTTAGATTGGTGAATTTAGAACTTAAGTAAATTCTCTGAATTACCTACCTAGAATAACTGAATCACTAGGCCTACTTAAGTTAAAATCAGAAAATACCCAATTAGGCAGCTGAAATTTACCTCCAATTAAAAATGTAAAACCCCCCAGTTTTTAAATGTATTTCTTATGGAATACATTTTTTTTTTAAATATTTTCAGGATAAATCCTAACAAACTTCATAGGCCTAATTATTTTCAAATCTACAGGCGGAATGAGCTTTTGTTTTTACGACCTATTAATAAAAAATCAGTCCAGTAGAACTGTAGATTTAGTTGTACAAAGATTTACAAAACCAAATTTTATAAGAGAAGATTTACGTACAGCAACACATTACAACACAGGGTAGGTCCATAGATTAAGCGGTACGCATCTATGGCAAGACCGACCAACTGTTCAACTGAACCTTGAGTACCTACTGAACTAACCTCAAAAAAAGGCCGCGTTAAGGGTCAGTGGAGCCCTGGGCAAACCCAAGAGCAGCGCCCCCTTTTTTCCTAGTGCTGGCAGGCAATGGTTTTGGGGGCACCCAGTGGGCGCCCCAAAACCACCGGCACCCCTGGGCATATGCCCAGTCTGCCCATTTATAAAAGTGGGCCTGCTCAAAAATTGACAGAAAACAGATGTTTTGCGGGGAAATCATGTTGGTGGGGGTAGTTACTGGGCCGAGCAACTCGGTTTTCAACTAAACCACTCGACTCGCTCTCAATTGACCTGTCTTTACCGACTCGCCTGTTACTCGACTTGCCTTCATGTCAACAACAAGCGAGTTAGAGAGCGAGTGGCATCAATCACGTACTTACTCGCCCGCCGTACTCAACCCGTGTAAACCAGGCTTCACAGCTACTCTTCTGAGCTACAAGATAGCAGCGGTGTTGATGGATTCAATCCGAATCATTTGTTACAGTACCGGTAATACAAAAAGTCCAACTTAACCGCACCCACACTCTTTTAGGCCTACTCTTTTCCCTAAAATTGCTATCAATTGGTATACAATACACTGTAAATAATTTACACCCTAGCTGCAAAATGTTACTTAGATATACACCATCCATGTAAGATAATAATGTCACTCATTATTGTTAACACAGAAGCCAGCCAAGCAGGGTCGGAGAGCAGCTGGTCACGTGGACAATGATATAGGATCTCCTGATGACCTGTTGGATAGCTCCGTTACCTCCAGTCCTACTAGAAATTCTGTAAGTTGTGTCTATCCATCCTATGTGAATGATAATAATATTTGAGGGTGAAATTGTTTTATTTTTTCTATCACTAGTGTTTGAAGTAGCCTACACAACATTTTGGGATGTAAGAAAATTTCTCCCGTTTTTAAGTTACCTACCGTATAGGCCCTATCCTTACCCTACATTTAGCTACCTAATTAACCTACACCTATCCTAACCTAACCGGGTTTATTTATTTATTGCCAACGGATTTCACCAATTTACAATAAGAATTACAATATAGTGAGATACTCATCATGACTAAATACTAAAACTAACTAACAATGCAAAACTGGTGAACAATACAATAGGGATACATACAAAATCTAAGACAGTAAACAAAACTACGGGTTTTTTCCTTTTATTTTCACATTTCTTTTTACTATTAATAGCCTAACTCAAAACAATATACAATACAACAATGGTGCTGGAAAAGCAATGAACTATAAGTAAACACGACTATCCCCCTAAGGGGTAAAAGTCTGTCAACTACACGGTAGGCCTCTTTCGGGCTGGCCACCGCGAGATACCCTAGCCAACTCCCAATCCCTCCTCTTCTTCGTTCTGGGTTCTACAGGAAGCAGCAAAACGATCTGAAGGTTTTCTTTGCCGCCCTGGCTAGCGAGTGAGTGGTGGTGGTGGGAATAGTGGCGTAACAATGCCAACGTGTGGACATTTTTAGTAGCCATGGAGCTGTGGATGGCTGTACACCATGTATTTGTAGTGGGAGTGTTTTAAATGTGGCAATTCCGGTGTATCTGTCCAGTAGACGTTTAAATGTGGGTCAAAGAGGAAAAGTCCCAACTCGAAACACCAATTTGCTGTGGGTGGGTAACTTTAGAGCTACAAATGCATGGTGCTCAGCTGTCCATACAGCACCATGGCTACTAAAAATGTCCGCAAGTAAGCTTTGGAACGCCTCTTTTCCCACCACCCTCCGCCACTCACTCGCTCCACAGGGTGGTAAATAAAACATCATTTTGCCGCTCCCTGTATGACCAGCATACTTATACTTTTGCTGTTTCTTCTTCCCTTTCCTATTGAAGAACTCTTCTTCCCCTTCTAAATAGTAGTATTCTAAATTCATACTTGGGAAAAACGAATAGAAATATTAACGAATAGCGCTATTCGTTCGTTTTTCGGCTAACTTCTATTTTAGTCGATACTTTTTAAAAAGAGCTCGAAATAACTTCTACTCAGTTAGTTTTATAGCCAGCGAATAGATAATATATTCGCTGGTTTTAAATCGTTAAATTTTTGGTCAGGCGAAAGTGTTTCCAATAGCCTACGGGTTATTTATTTGACGTGTTCAGTGAGGGTTGCGAGCGTACGTGAGAGGTCAGCGCCCTTGTGACAAACAACGTGGGGGGTGGGGAAAGAGAAAGTCAAAGTCCAGTCGCTTTGGTATGCAGCGGACCCAGGGGGCGGGACAATGGCAGCCAATAACAACACCCCAAGCACCGAAGGGTGGGAAGGGGGTGTTTGTTTGGCGATTGATATGTAATCTCAAGTGTCAAAACAATGTCTTCACTTCAGTCCAAGTTCATTATCTTATCTGACCGTTGACCGTGACAGGTGTTAGTTCATTTGTTTTCGCCCAAGTGTTTTTGGTTGTCTTGTCGGTATACATAATTTTAGTGATAGTTAAAATTTGTTATACAATAGTTATTAAGGTGAACAGTGTTGATTAAGTACAGTAGATTAATAATATTGGTTTCCAATGGCGGGCGAGTGTGATATTAAGTGGCCAAACTTAAGTGACATATTCCAACAATTCTTTGTTTCTGTTGTTTTTTCTTTGAACAATATTCCAACAAGTTGAAAAAAATGAAAACGTTCGACTAGCGTTGAAATGTTTATTGTGTTTACCCAAAACAAAAATAATTAAAGCATCAGTCACAAGTGCTTCGAATTTGAGAGCGCATATTAAGGTAGGTAAGTGGAGAAAAAGTATGATGGTCTCGTTGTTAACTTTAAGGGATTATACATTTTTTTAATGAATATAATTTATATTTTTAAGTACAGTTATAGTGTTTTTCTCAATGCTTTTCCCATGCTCTTATAAACACTATCTCGCCACAAATAGGTCACTTTCAAAACTAGGAGTGAACTATACTTTTATCACGCTGGGAAAACTACTTCATCAGCCTTTAAAAAGTATCTGATATTTCGTAATACATTAATTGTTTGTGTTTCTAAGTTAAACACAATACGGCTGTACAATTAATTTTACAGTAACATTCAACTAATTGAACGTCAACAAACTGTGTTTTGAGTTTAACCTAACCGGGAACTTCAGCTGTAACTTATGTTTGTGTATCGAAAGTAATGTTTATGTCAGGAAAGGTGAGATGATCACTATTTGTTTTTGAACTATTGAATACAGAGTGATGACAAGATTTGTATCACCTTTGTCGGGGAAATAAATATGTGCCCTCGTGTTTGAACCTAAATCTCTCAGAGATTATTTATCCGATTTTGTTGAAACAAAAGTTAAGTATAAGCTGGTTTAAATAAATTTTACGTGGTGTCAATTAAAAAATTTCCGTTCACCAGAAAAATGTATATAGTTAGTTGAAAGATCCTAAAAAGTACCGGGTTTTAAGTAGCTTTGCACTAACACTGAAGTTAAAAATGTATTTTTAAACAAACCACTGAGCCAATCTTTCTGTAATTTTTATGGGTTATTGGTAGGTTCATTGTTAACATTTCCATGCATTAAAAAAAATTTATTCACAGTAGTTTTTATGCTACTGTTAATTTTTAAAACGTATGCTAACATCGTTAATAAGGCACTGAAAATTACGTTCAAAATATCATCGTGTATATTTGAAGTTAACTTATTGTGACGTATTTGTTTCATGGTTCTAGTGAATATTTTGTTAGTAAATTTATGTTACATCATAAAACAGTAAGTTAACTAGGCTATAAATATACACGCACATCGGCAACGTCGCAGTGGCGCACGCGCTCCCGCCCGGCTGGGAAATATGGTACAAACATCAGGCGGCCCGGCCCGCTGCCAGTCACGGGAGAAATTTTTGTTTACAAATGTAAATCTGTTTAAAATCCACCTTTGTTCGCATTATAAATCTAAAATCTGTCATATTGGTGTTATTACTTGTGTCACGGCAAAAACTATGGTATTTTGAACGAAATTTTCAGTGTCTTATTAACGATGTAAGCATACGTTTTAAAAATTAACGGCAACATAAAAACTACTGCGAATACAATTTTGTAAATGCACATATATGTTATTAATGAACCTTATATTTAATTTTGTTTCAACAAAATCGGGTAATTCATCTCAGAGATATTTTGGCTCAAACTCGAGTACACATATTTATTTCCCCGATAGTAATTTTTGTAGCAAAAGTATTTATTAATAACATGTTGCAATACTTGCAATTGTGGGATTTTTCAAGATTTGTTTGAATTGACTAACAAGTCAGATTTCATCAATTATTTTATGCTGCGATTAACAATATTTGGCTTCCATTTTAGGGTATAATTATCATTGCTATGAAAACATAGTGTACTGTACTATTACTTAGTGTTAACTATTCAAATTGTTTTTTAGGCCACACATCCTTCTAAGATTTTGGATTTCAATGAAAAAATTGAAAAAAGGGTCGCAAACGAAAAAATGACTGTACTGATATTACCGAGCCTGTGCTAAAATCATTCTAGTATTTAATTAAAACACAATTAGTAACCAAAGATGTGTCATTATTTCATCACATATTAAATCCTTTAAAACAACTGTCCTGTCCAACAAACAGCTATCTTCTACGAATGTCGAAAACTAACTTTATTTTCTATCAGTTAGTTTTTCAACTAACTAATAACTTCTATCAGTTACTTTTTAAACCAACTAACTAGTAACTTCTATCAGTTACTTTTTATGGGACTAACTTCTAACTTCTAACTAGTTAGAAATTTTGACTAACTTTCCCAACTATGTCTAAATTCCCCTTGTTTCTATTTCAGCCGAATCTCATTAGTTTAACTTTTAACCCTTTTTGAACAAGTGAATACCACCAAGCTCCCTAGCGGTGGTCGTACATAACCTCCAGGATACCAGGCGACCTCCTGGAGGACAGGAATTAACCTTACCCGAGCATGTGGGGCTCTGCCTGGGCTCGACCTTTAGTTCTTCGTAGCAACTCTCTTTGGAACCTTATTCATTTTAAGACCTTTGCTTTTTCCAGGGGCCCAACTGTGGGTTGTAATGTCGGGGCGAGTGTGGCCAAGCGCTCTAGAAGTGCAACGGTCACTCTACCCTCCGCAAAAGGACTTGAAAAGAAGGCCAGAGGTTCTGTTGGTTTGATGAGAGTTAAGACGCAGGGGTGTTTCAAGAAACACCTTCACACTCTTGGAATGATCAATGACAGCCAGGAGTGTAGACTTTACTACCAGTCTAATGAGTTTGTAAAGTACACCATTCTGTATTGCGACAGACTTGAAGAAAGACCCTCTTTGGCAAAACAAAGCAAAGTGATGAACCCGACGCTAACATTAGGCAAACGTTCCAGGACCTGATCAAGGACACAGGTATAGGCTCACCTTGCAAGTGGGGCATGGGCAGCATGTTTTGGTTGATGTACCAGACCTTGAGTCCCCCCCCCCATCAAATACAATACAAACACGACAATACTTACGACTCCAAAGCCTCAGAACATGTGCTTTTCTAGGCTGGTTTGGAAGCTTTAAACTGATTGGTTCATGTTTGAATTTAGTTGATTGCCTTTCCATCAGTTAGGTTTGGTAGGCTATTAAGGTTGCCTTCCTGTTGGTTTCGAAAAACTATCATAGAAGTCTTCATACCCTACAGATATTTAAACATCTATGATAGTGGGAATGAGTGTATTTAGAAACAGATTGTCTTAGTTCTCGGGATTGCCAAACGATAGTATCTCACCACTCTCATTGTATGTTACAGAAGTTGTGGAATGAACCAGTAGCCCCGCCGAGGTCCAGGAAGACTGGAGGATGGGCGGACGAGACGTCGGCCAAATCTAAAGGGTTCGTTAGAGTTTGTTTTTGATAGACTTGGCATTTTCCTCAGTTTACACAAACTTTTAATTTATACTTTCTATAGTGAACTTTTTCATTTAAATTTGAATAACTTCTTGATCAGCATTGTACGTGTTATTAAATTTACGGAAAGTAAATAAAAGAAACGTCTTATAACACTTAAAACATATATTTACGCTTATACTGTTACTCACAAGACGGTAAATATACAAAAAAGATGGTAAGTGGTGATCGATTTTGATTGGACACTCCAATCATCATCAGACCCAATAGGCGAATGACAAGAATCTTGAATGTTGATTAGTGAACAAATACATTTTGATTCCAGTTGTACTTATAAAAATGTATTGGCTGGTGCTTCCGGTAACCAATAGGGTATAAGTAGGGACGCCATTCAAGATTCTTGTCATTCGCCTATTGGGTCTGATGATGATTGGAGTGTCCAATCGAAATCGATCACCACTTACAATTTTTTTTGTATATTTACCGTCTTGTGAGTAACAGTATAAGCGTAAATATATGTTTTAAGTGTTATAAGGCGTTTCTTTTATTTACTTTCCGTAAATTTAAATTTGGACAAGTTACTACGGTAAATAGTTCTAAGAATCGGATGGGATCATAAAGAAACTATTGAACATTTGGGCAATTTAAAATATAAACTATAGGGAAACTGCAATGAGGATTGTCTTTGCTATCTATAAATATCTTTAGGACAGGACTATAGCCTATGTGTATCTATATAAAAATGATTTTGAATAATGTGCATTGTCAATAAAATATAATCAAAATATACTGTATTCATCATACACTTGTACATTACATGAACAGACTCAATAGTCTCTAAACTACTATAATCTATATAAATAAAATTAGAGTTTTGTCTGTACATTGCTCAGAATCATAAACTTTTAGGTTATTTTTACGTTTTATACATTTTAAACAAACCGAAACAAGTCTCATCTAAATTTCTGTCTGTCTTCGTGTCTGTTACGGCCCAAGAGCCATTTTACGCGGCCTTCTCCTGAAAAACTAGAGTACCTATCAAGATCCGAATAATTTTAATGTATTCACTGGATTGGCGAGATTGTCTTTAGCCATTAAAATATGGCGTCACTACTTTGTATATAAAACGACGGACGTTTAAAAACCCGACTTCGTGCGATTTTTGTCAAGTTTTCTCCCAATGTCCAATGTTCATCACTTAATCATCAATGAAATAACGAACAGCTGTTCGGATCAAGATTATTTTTTCTAGCTGTCACTGATATGTTTACATTAAAGGTTGTTTACAAATACCGCAAACATTTCCGATCACATTTTGAAAGCAAAATCCAAAACCAAGTGAGATTAAAAACTATTTTCCTTACATGTAGGATTTCATTAATCGCAAGTTCAATAAAATGAAATAGAGATTCTATGTGTATAAAATTGCTCTGAAGCTTTGATAACCGGGAAAAAGACCTTGAAACAGTGATGTATAGGGCTGGGAAACTTACGTTTATTAAATTGACGGCGTTTCAATGGTGGTTGTGTAAAGCGTAAAGTGAAAAATCATAACTGCAGTGGGTGATTGTAACAGAGGTTTACGGATGATGCTAAACTCGCTTTTCCAATGTGTCACTTTCGGTTTCTACTGACCCCTATGTGCTACATTCGCTGGACCATACAGCCAATAGGCCGATAAGACTGTATCTTGGGTACATAGGCCTACCCAATTATACATACATAACAACCTATTCGAAGACGATCCTTGATACCGGTACTTTTCCCTAGAATACATGGCCTAGGTACCTACTTAGGAAATCAAATTAAAAACTTTCAAAAACACAACATTGTGTGATTTTGTTCACATTTCCTTCTACAGTAATATTAACTACATATACCAAACATCCTTTAGAGAATACGTCATATTCTAAATAACAAAAAGCTGTTTGGATGAGATTGTTTGGTTCAAACTGTCACCAAAGTTTTTATATATATTTTGCTTTTTCTTTATACGTATGTATAATATTACATCGTATGTCATAATATTAGGTTTATATATAATAGTTTTGCCAGCACGTCTGAAAATATGCAAACCAACTGCTGTTCTTTATATAATAAGGTTTCAACTGACTACTATAAGACCCCCGTGCGTAGAACGGGCACACAGCTAGTTAATAAATAAAATAGATTATGATATTAATAAAGAAAAAAAATAACAACAAAATGTAAAAGCCTATGTGAATTCTTCATAAGAGTAAACGACTTTAGTTTTATTTTAATGTATTTCTGTTTCCGTCTTTCTTTATTTTGTTTTGAATTTTTCCTAAGTTAAATAATGAAATGAAATGAAAAAATGAAATGAAAAACGTTTATTTATCCCAAGAATATAAACTAAAACAGAGAGTAGCTATACAACTAACAGTACAATATTTCTAAAATAAAATAAAATTTGCCTTACTTATGGGATAGGCCTACATCGGGCAGGTGCCTGTGCGTAGGCCTGGCTGTTATCAGTCTAAGCAAATTGAGGGCACACACTAAAATTGGGAAGGTTTTTAAGCCTTGTTAATTTAACTTGATCGAAAATCGGATAAGAGAATGTCGGCGACGACAACCAAAGCCAGTGCAATCTAAGACAGGAGACATTGTGAGGGCGAGGGGGTCGAAGGGTCAAGGATTGTTTGGTCAGGGTCAAGTAAGGTTAGGTCTGATCAAAGTTTCGGCCTCTTCATTGGTAATCGTGTGCAGTAAAACAAGCATCTGTTTTTTGAATTTCTGTATTGAGGGTAAACTAAAAATGTATTGAATATTATTGTTAAAATATTATAGACAGACAAGATAAAAGACTATTAGGACTTCACAAAAGATGTGTATTTATTTGACTGTTTACAAAAATCATAATAATCAATAAACATATGTTAGTTAAACTGTATATGAAATGAGGCAGGCATAGATTAGACATAGATTATTTATTACATTCTCTCCCCCCCAAGAACTGCGACCTTGGTAAGAGGGCGCCGGAATGTACCTTTGGTTGTTTTGATGTCCACAACTCGTATAACGCCATCTTTACCGGGGTAAATGGCTGATATTTAATTGGGCCAAAATAGTCAACACCAGTGTAAAAGAAAGGATACTGTGCCTTGACTACTCGTGACATTGGCAGGGGTGCCATTTGAGGTGGACTTGGTTTGGCGTTGTCAATCCTACAACGCATACAGCTTCTTTGCACTTTCTTCACTGTTGTGCGAAGATTAAGTATCCAAAACCGTTCTCTTGTCATGTTCATTACGGTTTCTATTCCTTGGTGGAAGCATTTTTCATGGAAGTTCTTCACAATAAGTCTTGCTACTTGACATTTTCCATCTAAAATAATTGGATATCTTCGTTCAGTACTGATTTCAGGAGAATTTCGTATTCTTGTAGACATCCTGATGAGGTCTTTCTCGTCAACGAAAGGATCCAATGTGAATATTTTACTTGACTTCGGTAGTGACTTGCTATTTCTTAATAAGGTCTTTTCTTCTTTAAAAGTTTTGTCTTGGGAATTCAACACTAAGATGTGTTCAGCCTTAAGAATTTCATCTGGTTGAAGTTCCAGTATCAATCTGGGGTTAGAGTTCTTCTTCTGTCTGTCTTTGTCATTTCTTTTGATCCTGGATTGCAATATACCAATGTATCTCAGAACCCACGCAGTTACTCGTGTTACCTTATTCCAGGAGGAAAATCTCTCAATATTGATAACGTCTTCTTTGTCTTCGTTGAGTAACCCAACGAACTTTTGTTTCACCTCTTCGCTGTTTTTTGTTTGCAAGGTTGTTGGTTGCTGTGGCCAATGACTTGAGTCGTATTTTAGAAACTCGGGGCCATAAGTCCAAAATTCATGATTACTTGTAGTGAATTTCTGGTTGCTTCTCGTAGCGACATCAGCAGGGTTATTTTTTGATGGTACCCACTTCCATTCATCAGCTTGTGAAACTTCAAGTATTTCCACAAGTCGGTTAGAAACAAATTGTTTAAAGCTTCTCGGATCAGATTTTATCCAATGTAACACCGTAACAGAATCTGACCAAAATATTTTTCGGACGAAGTTGATGTCTAGGTCGTGTATAATTGTTTTAACAAGCCTACATCCAAGGACAGCAGCTTGTAGTTCCAGTCTTGGTATGGTAGTTGGTTTTAGAGGAGCCACCTTTGCTCTCGACATAACCAACATAGTGTTGTATCCAGTATTCTCGTTAGTATTCTTATGTCTTAGATATCCAACAGCGGAGTACGCTTCTTCACTTGCATCGACAAAGACATGAAGCTCAACCTCATTTATCATAAGGGTTTTGAAATAGCATCTCGGAATGGTAAAATATTGTAGTTGTTTAACTTCTTCCAACCATTCTTGCCATTTCTTAGTAAGTCCTGTTGTTAGTACTTCATCCCATGTTGTTTTTGTTCTCCAAATCTCTTGCACTAATATTCGACCTTTGATTGTAGTAGGGGTGACTAGTCCCAAAGGATCAAAGATAGACATCGCAGCCTTCAAAACCTCACGTTTAGTTGGATAACTTGATTCCATTTTTTGCAATTTTTCTGCATTGCGATGAAATACGAAATTGTCGCTTTCTGAATCCCACCACATTCCGAGAACTCGTTCAGTGGGAAGATTGCTATCATGCTTTAATTGCTTAGTTGAATTTGATTTCAGTTCTTCAGGAATTCCAGATAAAACATCTTTGGAGTTTGATAACCAATTGCACATTTGAAATCCACCTGATTTGTGAATTTCCATTATTTCTTTCACTCGAGTCTTTGCTTCTTCCTCAGAATTGACAGAGTCTAATAAATCATCCATGTATTCCTTAGTGAGAATTGATTTAGAAGCTTCAGGGTAGATGGATGAGAAACGTTTGGCATTTTCGTTCACTACATATAAAGCAGTGCTTGGAGAACAGGTCGACCCAAATGTCATCACCTCCATTACATACGTATCTGGAGGATCATTCGTGTTTTGCCTCCACAAAAATCTCTGTGAATCTACATCTTCTTTCCTTATGCGTACCTGATGGAACATTTCCTTAATATCACCAGCGACAGCAAATTTTCCCAGACGAAATTTTACGAGAACAGCTGGTAATGGATTCAAAAGGTCAGGTCCACTAAGAAGAGCGTCATTAAATGATACACCGTTCGACTTTGCAGCTGCATCAAAGACCAATCTTAATTTGTTGGGCTTATTGGGGTTCACAACTCCGAAATGAGGTAGATAATAAGTATGATCATTTAAAATACTTGCCTCATCTTCACTTAGTTTTCGAATATACCCTTTTTCCTTGTAGTCGGCAATCTTCCTTGTGTATTCGTCTTTAAAGGAAGGATCCTTTGCCATCTTCCCTTCAATGTGTTTTAGTCTTTTAAGAGCTTTATCGTAACTCGAGGGATATTTAAAATCATCTGATTTCCACAACAAGCCAGATTCATAACGTTCTCCGATTTTCCTCGTTGTTTTTTCCAAGATTGACATTGCACGTTCGTCTTCTACCGATTTTATTGATTTGTTTTCTACTGGAGATGCACCGTAGTTGTCAATTTCAAAGGAACTTTTCACCAAATCATGTAATCTGTCGTGATCAAAGGACAATAAGGTGAAATCGTCAACACGTCCAGCAAATTCTGGACACTTGCCATGCATTGACCACCCTAGGTAGCTCCATGACAGGACGGGAGCATTTGGCGGACCTTCGATAACTTTTCTGGTCAATAACAAGTCACAGTTATCTTGACCTATCAAAATGGTAGGTTTAACATGAGATGTTGGTAAAGGTTGATCGATTGACTTTAAATGAGGCCATCTCTCACGAAGCTTTACTGAGTCAATCGACTGTTGGGGTAAATCTAGAGGTGATTGAGTTCTTACATTACTTAATGTGAAAATTTCATCTTCATAGAACCCTTTTATTTTAAGTTCAACTCGTCTGGACGTTGGGTCAAAATGTTTAGTTGCATTTGACCAACAAGTGGTAAGGGGTTCAATGCTACCACTGATGCCTAATTTATCGGCAGTAGTCGAATCTAGCAGAGATATGGTTGAACCATCATCTAAAAGTGCATATGTGTCGATCTGACAGCTTGGACCATATAACGTTACTGGACATGTTCTTAGTAAAACACGGTTATTTACCGAGTGATTGCTTATAATTTCTTCTTTCGATTGACCTTCCTGCCTGAAAGTGTTCTGTGCTCTGTCCCGGCTGATTTCTTGGGAATTTTTAGAGGCACTGTCAGTATGCAGAAGGCGATGGTGGGATAGTTTGCACCCATTGATTCCACAAGGTTTCTTTAACTTACAAAATTTGATGTGGTGACGACGGAAGCAAAAGAAACACAGTTTTTTCTCAATTATCATCTTCCACCGCTGCGCGACTTCTGCTTTTCTGAAAAGCTTACATTTATCGGTTTCGTGACTCTCCGAACAAAACATGCAAACGTTTTCATTGGGCGAATTAGTAAAAACTGGTTTAGGGTCACTTCTCTTCCGCGTTGTCTCCTCGGGTGGACGAAAATAAATACTCATAATGGAACACTGATTTTCAAGCCAGTTACAGAATACTTTCAGGTCAGTAGGTTTTTCTAAATGCATGCTATTTACATGTTCAGCCCACCTGTACTTCAGGGTATAGGGGAGCTTACTTAAAAGTTCATTCAACAAGAGAGGATTTATTAGGTACATTTCCAAATCCAACGACTCTGCGGTAGAGGTCAGGTTTAAAAGAGTTGTTGAAAACTCAATAAGGCTGACAGCGTCATCCTCCTTAACTGGTTGGAGCATGCGCGCCTTCTTCAACATTGACTCGACTATAAACTCTGGACGTCCAAAACGCATTTGTAAAGTTTTCATTACTGTACTCAAATTTTTACCTGATATAAATAGAGGTTTTACCATTTTAAAGGCATCTCCCTCCAGACAATTTCTTATTCTGTCAAGGTTTTCATCGTCATTAAAAAGGTGTTTAGTCTTATTGTAACAGGAATAGAACATGGGCCACTCGTCTGGTTTCCCGCTGAAGGATGGAAGACGCTGTCGGCAAGAGACAGGTTGGTTGGGGTTAGATAAATTGATAGCTTTTGAAAAGGAGTCTGCTAGTTTATCAATAGCCGTGGACACGATGGCTGATGATGTCAAAGGAACTGACGGTTCCTCATTCAGCCACCTATTGACTTTGACATTAGAGTCCTCCTCAACAGTAGCAATATTGAAGCTTACCTTGTCAGGGTCTTCATTATCTTCCAATTCCAAATGACGACTGTCCAAGACTGAGGCGGACTGACTACTTCCCAAGACCGAAGCAGACTCAAGTTCGGTCCTTACTCTCAGCAGACGCTTCTGTCGTTCTAGTTCTCTTGCTTCAGCTTGACGTTGTCGTTCCATTTCCCTCTCCTCTCTTTGCCTTTGTTGTTCCATCTCTTGTCTCTGTCGCTCCATCTCCTTTTCTTCAAATTCTTTCAGCCGTTGCAACTCCCTTTCTTCGTGTATTTTCTCAAGCCTGTTTATTTCTTCTATTTCTTCTAGTTGCAGTTGAACTAACCGGCGCTTGCTGGAAGTTGAAGATTTGGTTTTTGACTTAGAAGGTGGTTTTAGAGATTGACTATCTCCTTCTTTGGGTTCATCATTCTTGTCATTTGCATTTTCTGGGGAATATCTATTTGGAGGGTGTTTCTCTCTCCCTGACTTTCGGATTGACATATTTTTTGACATGATTTATAAGTCGGGTTTCGGCACCAATGTTAAAATATTATAGACAGACAAGATAAAAGACTATTAGGACTTCACAAAAGATGTGTATTTATTTGACTGTTTACAAAAATCATAATAATCAATAAACATATGTTAGTTAAACTGTATATGAAATAAGGCAGGCATAGATTAGACATAGATTATTTATTACAATTATATTTTTGAATTAGATTTTGATATAGAATCTGAGCAACATAAAAACAGTTGGTAGTTAGAACTGACTTATGTAGCTGAGGGACAGATATTCCAACATTGTGTGAATATCTTGTGTAGAGTTGATGTGTGACTGCTGTAAGGATCGTGTTTGAGTTTTTGAATGTGTGACTAAGAAGAAACTGAATGAAAATATGTCTGACTGGTAATAAATAAATAGCTAACTCATTCGTTACAGGTCCAGGAGAAATTCAAACAACTTTGCAGACCAGTAAGTATGGATGGACTCATAATATTTAAACAAAAACCTTTGGTGTAAATAGTTCTTTATTAACGCTACATGGTCTATAAGTTTAGCCTGCCTGTAAAAAAGCGATGAAACAGCTGCTTCAATGCGATTTGCTTCTTCTCTCTAAATTTCTGCTTCTGCTTTTAGTTTGTTGTTTATTGTTTGTTGACACTGTTGTTGTTGACAGTTTGTTGTTTTGTTGTGTTACACGCTAAGATTGTGTTTTAGGTTCTATGTTCTGTGAATGCGTTAAAAGTTTGCGTCATCTTATATTAAAGCAGCCTACAGTGAAATAGTGGCCTTAACTTTTTTCTTTAATAGTTGTAAAGTTTGATAGTTTGATATAGTTAATCTAGATTATTACCTTTGACTATTGGATACTGAAGTAGACATCGTATCGATTTGGAACAGCTGTCGCCAATTTTTTACTAAAAAAATAGTTACATAGTTATGCGAGCTGGTTACAGAATGTGCTAGTGTCTAAAATTCAATTTTCCACCTTATTTATTGTTGCTGACCACGTTGATGGGTCATAACAGTCGCTATAGCTCACCATAAGTCATTCCATTAGTTTGACTTTGTTTAAAAGCTCCTGTATTCGACGGAAATTTAGTGATTTAGATCAGCGCAATCTATCGGTGGCTCACATCAAGTACGACGATTTTGATAAAAAAGTGGCAACAACTTTAACATGAGAATGGGATGTCTAGGTGTAATAATATTCAAAGCTATTACTAACAAAATCAACCATGTTTTTAAGGCCTTGTACACTGATTTCAGTTAGTTTTTCTAAAATAATACTGAGGTCACTTCAAAGCTTCTAGGAAATATTTACGTGTCTCTACATTTTAAAGTCAGTACTCTTCAAACGAGTAATATCTTAATTTTTGTAATACTTGTTAGTTTAAGCTGTGGCATACATACTCACATCTAGTTGCAAAAAATATATACCTGTAAATTTATATAGTACTTCTTTCAACAGGGATAGGCTACAATCACCTGAAAGAAATCAAAAACAAGACTCCGAAGATGGTATGTGTTTTATATATAATTTTCCAACTTATGATTCATTATGTAAGAAGGGAAGTATAGTTCGGCCGCTTAGAAAACGACCTGCGCGCTAATGCTAAACCAATGCTGGAGGAGGTCGCTTTCTAAGCGGCCGACCTATAGTCCTAATACTTATTCTTATAGATGGACAATCCCTGATATGTTGAGAAATTTTGGCGGAAAATATATTCCCAAACTTCAGGTGAGATTTTATTTGATTCAGAATTTTTTTGGAACGGATATGATCCAACTGTCAGCTTTAATGCTGCGTTGGCAAGTGACATTAATGATGCTCACACAATCGCGGAAGATGATCGATATTTAGTTACTATTTCAGGAAACGACGCCGATGACTCTGAGATCAAGGAAGATGTTAATGTTTACGCCGATATTACGGGATATATGTGCGATTTTATCGGGATGGTGAGTGACATTGATGCCCGATTGCGGGAGCTGTCAAAGATTTTTTCACTACTGCGGGAGAATATGATGTTATTTTCCTGATTGTAGGAGATGTTCTTGAATTCAATCTATTGGTAGGGATGTACATTATATGTTTAAAAACCGTATTTTGTTTTTGGAATGCATTCGCGTGGAAACTTAGATGTAAATTTTTTAACCTGTACTGCAGTGATAATGGCAAACAAAGATTTTTTTCCTCCTGAGTGTTAGACAGCCCTTAGGGTAGGGAAAAGTGTAGCTTCGATTGCTGTTATATGATTGAACACTAATTTATAATAACATAACTTAAGAACAAATTAAGAATGAATGATCCCGCTTTGTTTTGGCTACAATTTTAAGCCTTGACGTTTCATCTAACATTGTATCATTGTTTGTTTTAGAGCAAAACCGTGTTTTGGGAATAAATAAAATTTAATAACAACCTAATATTAGGTATATTATTTCCTGATATTTGAATTTTCCAAATATTTATTATTTGATACATTTTTCAATATATTTTGTTTTACAGAAATCCCTTTAATCCCTGACCTGGATGAAATGCAAGAAGAAGAAACGCTTAATCAAGTGGCAAGAGCTCCTTCGTGAGTATAATCTGTTCACCTACCAAACAAACAGATACCGTAGTCAATCATAACCATGTGTGATCAGCCACACCTGATTTATTTTATCCATGCATATGTTAGTTTGTAAGTATAAGGGTTGATTAGAAATAAGGAACACACTTTCCAGCACAGACATGCTCGCCTCCGCAAGGACAGTCCAGCTATTACAGAAGTATCGACGTTATATTGCCTGTTGTCGCAAAATTAAAGTTTAAAATGTGTGCTGCAATTGAAAATCTCACCAAATTGTGAGGTGCGGTCTACAATACGGTTTTTGTCGGCTGTACACTTAAAATTTATAGAAATTTATTGTCAAGGGTGTAAAGTGTACGGGTACAACATAATAAATAAAACAATAACAGTTCTGTCCAGAAATGGCCGAACTAAAGTTCACGTCCAAAATTTTGTTTTTACATGACACTGCTTGACCTCACACGTCAAATCTCCTCCACCCTCTCCTTCAATCATTCAAATGGGAGATTTTTTAACAACCACCAACCCTACATCCAGAACTGGCTCTGAGTGACTTTAACTTACAAGTTTTGTGCACCAAAATGAAGACTTGGTTAGCAGTACAGCGTTTTGAATACGATAAGGACCTCCAACTACATGTCACCGGGTAACTGAGCTAGCAGGCGGTTAAATTCTATGACAAGGGAATTTCAAAGCTCGTCCGCCGCTATAATTTACGCCTCCATTTGTTTGGCAGATCGTGTGGAAAAGTATTTTAGTTGCTATTTCAAATGTATATAACAGCCTACAATTTGTTTTTAGTACAGACTCTTGATTTTATTCCAAAACTATCCTTACTTCCTGAACAGCCCTTGTATTTTGTAATGTTACAAATCCTAGTTCTTAGTATATTTTTATGGTACCTACATCTTTTTATTATTTGTTTAATGTTTCTGACGTTTTTATTTTCAGTCCTTAACTAGTACACACACAAGATTACATAAATTCCCTTTTTTTACTGTCCCACCTTTACAACCTATAGGATGGTTCTAGCCCAGAACTGTTTTAACACGTTCGCTACTGAGCGTCGCATATATGCGACGCCGCGGTCATTGCCACAGACCGAGGTATACATTTGAATCTTACACATAGATCGACTGTCACTTGGATAACAGTACACACAGACCACGGGCGAAAACCTGTAAAACAGCGATCATTTACATTGTAATACGCTACAATGGTGTTTGTAAATCAATTATTCTTGTTTATTTGTATTTTTTATAACCTTTTGTAATGTCGCATATTTGCGACGCCCGGTCTACAGCGAAGACAATAATAAAAATTATCATAGTTTTCTTGAAATAGACTAAACGTCGCATATATGCGACAGTTCATTTTTTTGTGTTTTAAGGTGAAAGTAAGTAAAGAAATAAACAGATTATTCAAGAACAGTTTATAACTGAACAAATATAAAAGCTACATAGGATAATGCAGCATACATACTGCATACATACAAACAGTGATGCAGAAAAGTAAAGACCAGTTTTTCCAACTATTATATGACGTCACCAATCATCATATCCACAGACCAAGCGACGCAGTTGTGCGTCAGACATCTCTGTAGACCACTGCAGGGAATTCAGTGCCTTCAAATAGACCACTACAAAGATATAAGCATTTTAATAACATTAGAACCCTGACGCAAATATGCGTCGGCAGTCTATTTTAATGTGACTAACCGTCGCATATATGCGACGGCAGTCCATGGGTGGAAACCGGCCGTCGCATATGTGCGTCGCTGGTCCATGAGAATGGAAAATTTCGTACTATTGCAGTAGCGAAAGTGTTAAACATTACTTCAGGCTAGTCCTAGATCGTCGCGGCATTATTATATGGATAAAATCCATTTGTGATTAATGGGATTTGAACCTGGGACCTCGGGCACCGAAGTCCTGGGCTCTACCACTAGACGAGCTTCCTCCTCTTTGTATAACCTTGCTAATGATGCATTTGTTTTGTATATTATTCCAGTGTTATTGGCACCAAAGTGGCCTCCTTCTCGGACCTTGACTCTGATCTCACCAAAAAGTCTGTGTTTTCTACCTTGGACAATATTAATCTGTCTCTCCTAACCAGTAGGCTGTGTTTGGAGGAGGAAGTACAAGAAGTGAGTACAATTTAGTACATTTGTTACTTATGTTGAAATGATCTAGCTGCAGTCCAACTTTGACTAAACAAAATCCTTTGCAAGATGAATATTTCAAAAAGCTTGAGCGGTCCAGGATCTAGGTCTTACCTTTGGTAATATCTTATTCCCTGTAAGGGAAATTCACTAACAAACGTTAAATGAGATACTTATCTTGACATGATCAATGCAGACATTTTTATTTTCTACTTAGAGTTGAAAATCGTCATTTAAAGAATACTCAAGATACAGTAACAGCACTTTTTGTTACAGAAATGGCCACAAAAATCTTTTATAGAGGCCATGTCAGAGATAGGATATGGCTTTGTAAGGCAAATCAAGTGTGTTAAGCCCCTTTAAAAATACCTATTAATTAAAGCGGAGTATACACGATGCAAGTAGACAAGCAAATGTCTGAGAAGATGCCTCACTGGCATGAAATTACAATAGCCCTGAAATTCTGTTGTCTCCGGGAGTAGATTGAAGACAACTTACCTTCGACACCTGCAATCAATTGTTAACCGCTAACCAACTGGTATCATGTACACCTGGTTTAAGAATGCCTTGTTGAGGCAAAAATTTTCCTGCACTTTGAAAGTATTCTGATCAGGTTGGACTGTACTTTTATCGGTTAAGGGAGTTTGAAGCATATATTAAGTAAGTAAATTTGTCACTAAATTATGTTACGTTGCAGCCCAACAATGCTTGGACGTGGGATCTTTTGTTCACCGAGGTGGCTTCTGACTTGAGATCAGAATGGGAGAAGGAAGTTTACAAAGACTGAAAACTTTGTCAAAACATCTGAAATCCGTCCACCTAGCTGTGATTTTATTTTCATACATCACAATTTTATTTCTTGTTGACACTTAGCTTAGATTTTAAACGTAAAATTCACTTAGCCTAAGTTATTTTAGGAAAATAAATGTTTAATATTGAACTGTTGGTTACTTACTGAATTTTCCATATGATTGAAAATAGTTTTTCACCACACTATGATGTTTTTAGCTGTTTTGCATATGTTAATTGGTGGCTGAAAGTTACGTTTTGCTGGCCATGCCAGCTGTCATCGTCATTTGGGGACCGAGCAGGTTTTTACATCCCTAGGGCCGCAAAATCAGCTGCCTGCTTACTTTCTTAAAATATGAATGCATAAACAATCAGTATCCATTTCCATAGCATAAAAATAGAATTGTTTTATTGTCACCGCTGCCTAGCAACTGTTTATTATTATTTTTGGTGATTCCACAAATTATTTCTTTACATAACCTTGCAGTTAAGTTTTAGTTGTGTTGGCTATCAGTGTGAATTATTATTGTGTTGAATAGTGGTAATAGGGCATAATGTGGTGAAAAATGGCGTTCGTACCACGGACCGAAATGGTTTAACAGCTCTCGATCGTTTTAAGTTCTCGACTTCGTCTCAAACTTAAAAACTATCTCGAGCTGGCAAAACCTAATTTTCGGCCCTAGGTACGAAGTACACTATTTCACCACACTATGATGTTTTTAGCTGTTTTACATACGTTAATTGGTGGCTGAAAGTTACGTTTTGCTGGCTATGCCAGCTGTCATCGTCATTTGGGAACCGAGCAGGTTTTTACATCCCTAGGGCCGCAAAATCAGCTGCCCGCTTACTTTCTTAAAACATGAATGCATATTAAATACACAATCAGTATCCATAGCAGCATTGCAATAGAATGTTTTTATTGTCATCGCTGCCTAGCAACTATTTATTATTATTTTTGCTGATTCCTCAAGTTATTTCTTCACATAACCTTAATGTTGTAGTTGTGTTGACTCTCAGTGTGCATTATTATTGTGGTGAATAGTGGTAATAGGGTATAGTGTGGTGAAAAATAGCGTTTGTACCACGGACCGAAATGGTTTTGCAGCTCTCGATCGTTTCGACTTCGTCTCGAACTTAAAAACTATCTCGAGCCGGCAAAACCTCATTTTCGGCCCTAGGTACAAAATACTACAGTATTTCACTACACTACTATCGAGTTGAGCTGTTTTCGTTATGTGTTTACAACGTGCGAAACATCATACTGTATTTTCAACAGCTGTCTATTGTTTACTACCGAAAGTAACATTGTTTACAACCGAAAATTTTCCACTGTCAACAACTTCAAATATTTGTTATTGTTTTATCAACGGTTTAAATTTTCAACAACTAATGTAAATATTAATTTTAAATTGAAGGCATAACCTAAAAAAATCTCTGAGTTTTGTAATGAAGAAGATAATTATTCTTCCATTTAAAGCTCGACCATTTAAAGTGATTGATAAATCTTGCACTTCAAACATGGTCTCAATTTAATACGTAATGATTCACTTTCTACTCTTGTTATGAAATATACTATTTTATCACATTATGAATTTATTTATATGTTACTGAAGACGTGTTATTCAAAATTCTAAAATAGCTTTCAAGACTTAAAATATATCACAAAACATTATTAACTGCACAATGCAATACCGGTACGGCTACGGCATTATGTCCAACTCTACATATTCAGAAAAAAAATGATGGTACCAGTACAAATAATCATCACAGCTACAAATGAATATTTTACTGCTACAAAAATAAACGTTACAGCTAAAAATGAAATTAGGGTAAAAATGAAAATAACTAAATGACCTTTGCAGCTTTTCACAGCAATGATAAAGAGACTTAAGTAGGTCCCTTGTTCTTTTATGCATAAGCTTTGTTTGTTTTAAGATGTGACAGTTTAGTCAGAAATGTTTTGTTTATTCTTGGTAAATTAATCTTTTTAGATGCGGTTTTTTCAAATTTTTGAGCAGCCTACTTGAAAAATTTCTAAAACAACTCGGACATATAAAACTATAACAAATTAACTTTAATCTCCAAGATTACTACGTTTAAAACTCATCCTGCATATTCTAGTAACAAACATTTACAATATTATTCTAAAACAAACCAAAGCAACTGTGGCATTTTTTGTCCTGATAATGATAATCAGATTTCAATTATCAATAAAATTAGCCTGCTCAAAATTAATTTCCTTAAACTGTTGGTCTCTTGGTCAAAGTCTGATTTTGTCGAATTAACGTTTTAGTTAATATTCCTCTCTTCACTAGACCATGAAGCTTAAAAAAGACATTTCAAATATATAATATATAAAGCGGCTAATTAGGATGGCTGGAAAACGGATGTTACAGAGAAAATCCTTATTGTATTAAGTATACAGTATAGATTCTGGGAGTGATACCTTATATGATTGACCTACTTTGTCAGAAGCATGTCCTCATAACTTCAAATAAGTGCGGTTTAGGTGTCCTGTTTTACAGAAAGCCACTTGAAACTAGGGGGAGGGACAAGATAAAGAACAGGAAAAATCCCTATTGTACCTGGGTATTTTTATGTATAGGCTGTGGGCAAAAGGATGACACATTACGAGCGAGACTTACCTAAAGTCTTTCTAACCCCCGAGTTCACTTGGTAAGCTTCATTTTGTTCAAAACAGTGATTTTCTTTATGAAGAGGAAGGAGAAGACATTCCTTTATGCCTTGTTGGACTTATTGCATATGTAAATATATGGGCCTAAACTTCAGTGCGTGCAGACGTTTCTCTACTAGCCGCACCAATGTTGGGGGGGGGGGGGGGGAGTTATTGGCAGCGCTGGGTTTTTATATCCCACCTTCACATTCTAGGACGCTAGGTTCTACCACAGAAAACATATTACTATAACCCAGAATGCCAACCGCATGGTAAAAAGCATTAAGTGTTTTGAGAGAGCTTTGCCTGTCAATCGTAGGCAGCGCCACCAGCGTTGCCATGCACTCAGCATAGCAACGCTGGTGGCGCTGCCTACGATTGACAGGCAAAGCTCACTCAAAACACCTAATGCTTTTTACCATGCGGTTGGCATTCTGGGTTATAGTAATATGTTTTCTGTGGTTCTACCCAGGAACTGTTTTACACATTACTTCAAGCTAGTTCTAGTGGGTTGTGGCATTAACACATAAATAAAATCCATTGGTGATTGGTGGGATTTGAACCCATCATGGGATGTTTTCACAAAAGTACCCCCCCCCCCCAAGACCCGACACAGTTCTGCAGAAATTTTGGCCGATCTGTACAACACTACTACAACAGTAATGTAGTTAGCAATTCAGTCCAAATAACTGTCCCCCAAAAAATCACTAGATAAAGAATCATGAGGGGGCCCAGTACCTACACCTGGAGAACTTTACACTTGTGACCAATGTGATATCTTGCAACATTTAGATTTTCATTAGCCTTTGTTTAGTTTTGGGTGGAAATGATCAAACAATGAGTGTCCAATGGCTTATTCAGATATAATAAATTATTTAAAAAAATTCATCTACAACCATGGGCGTCCATCAAATTTATCCATAAGGGGGGCACAGAATAATCCTCAGTAATTGGGGGCTCCTCCTCCATAATAATGTTTGAATTGTAGGTACAAAATGGTTTAAAATTTGTATACCTAAATTTGCTTTGTCAATTGTTTTTTACATTTTAAAACTTGCTACTGTGACCAACGTTGCCCCGAGTGGTACACATCTATATCTCTTGCCTCTTCCTTCCTTCTTTCCTGTCTGCTCAGGTCCTTTTCCAATTGCTCACACAATCTCAGCTTTGGTCTTACATTTGTGTCCTCTTCCTTCGGGGTTATTCTCCAGGATTAATTTTGATACAGAGTTCATTTCTCATAACAAATCCATACATCTTAACCTTCTGCTCTTTATCTTTGCTACAATATCTTGTTCTTTAAATAATCTCTTCAGTTCCCAATTTTGTTTTAACCTGCACTATCCACTCCTAAAGATCGGCCTCAACAATTGTCTCGATATTTTATTTTCAAAAAATAATCTTTAGAGACACCTGGGAGAGTCATGCTTGCTCTACTCATTCATTGCAGGGGCCTCTGACTCCTCAGGCATACTGTGGATTATTTAACTTTTATATGTTTACTAAACAATCTGCAAAAATATAGACCGTATTGATTGACGCCCACAATCAAAATTATGTACCCACCAACTTAAAAATCTGGAATTATTAAGTATGCCTAAGCAGTTGCTTGTCAGAATTTGTGTTCAGCCTTTGTTGATGATAGATACAAAGTGTTCTGTCCAAATCCACCAGCCCACTAAACATTACTTATTTATAAACTGCTTTACTATTGGCCAGTATTCACTGGGGTTCTTGGAGTCCCAGTTCTCTCCAAGGTCATGGTGATGATAATGTTATCAAGGTGGCCGTGGTGTGGGTCGTTGTCAAGGGGGGAGGAAGCTGCACCCCCCACACCCCCTCTGGGAGCCTCTCCCTGATCAATATACCCTTGGTCTGCTCAGAAACCGCTGGAGTAGTCGGCGATGCGATGATTCGGTGGTTATCGAATCAACTATCGCATCGTATCATCGGATTGTCGTTTTGCCAACTTGAGTTAAATAGTGTTTTGTTGAGGAACACGTTATAAAACTTTTAAAAGAGGTTTTAATAAATTTGATGTGTATCTTTTATGCTACCTAACTATATGAATTGATGCATTATAATGCTATGTGGTGTAATTAATGACAATACATGTAATAAATAAGAGAACACAATTAATTGAATAGGTACTGTACTTAAATCTTTGATAACAGATTTATTTAAAGAGAATGTTAACACAAATATCATACATGTCATTGTAAGTTTACTGTAAATTTTCTTAACAGTCATTGAAAGATCGTTTTGGTTGGAATTGATTCAAAATAAAGTTTACTGCATACGTGTAGTTTCACTTATTTACCATTCATGACCGTATATGATAAACTATAACACTTTCAGATTTTTACATCCATTTTGTCATGTCTTAAACAAGTAGCCAATCATAGTTTTTTTTTTTTAAGAAAATATTACATTCTAATTTTAAATTTTCCTGATATTCTTTTTAACATAAAATTTTTTTTTTTTTTTAGAAAAATCTGTAGGTAAATCCCTGCTGCTTGTAAATTCGTTCTTTATGCAGTGTTTCAAATTACACGCGCATCGTATAATTATATTCAAATGAAGTTATAGTTCAAATTATAATATTGTCCGAAGTACTACATAGAACAACCAAAAAGATTATTCAAACACTGTTTTAAAGAACCTCCCTAAGAAAACGGTCACGCAAAAGCCTAAGCTAAACAAAACATACGATGTGAATATAATAACAAATTTCATCTTAGATTGTTTCCAAAATGTTACATAAGAGCAAGAAAAGATATTTAATGTCAATTGAGTGTTAAGAGATTTATAAGGCAGTGAAGTGTGTTGCTGAATAACAAAGTGAACTCTCTGTTGGACTCAGCGATGCGTCTGGAAAGGAGCAGTGACGTCACGAGGCAAAGTACACCAGACGACGCTCCGTCCTACAGTCGTCGTACAGAATCGTATGCGGCCGTCGGCCATGACGACCATACCGGTTATTTGTTAAATGTCTTTGTTTTTTTGTTTTTTTTTTTTTTTTTTGTAAATCGTGTGTGACGACTGTTTTGTGTTGACGTTTATGACGAAAAGTGGATGTCTGAATATGACAGTGTGTTGACGCAACTTAGCAGCGAATAGAACCGCCAGAAGGTAAAAATTGTTATTATTACTATCATTTGAGTTTCCAGTAGTAGGAAATTAGATTACGATGAGAAAGACAACTTCTTCTGACAATATTTCAAAAGCCTACAATTTTGCCAAATTACTCAACAAAATTAGGTTTTTTTGTGATTACTTTTTTAATAGCACTTGAATTAATACTGCAAACAATACATTCGGATGAGGTAATTAGGCTACCAATTCTAATACCTTGATCGACAGTTAGGTATTGATGAAACAAATTGTAATAAACCGAATCAGAATTTTAGTTGCTATTAAAATATATATTTTTTTCTATCTATCCTAAAGGCGGGGACACACTTGTCATACACTCTTCCGATCCTACTACGATCCGATTTGCGGGATTCCAGAAGGATCGGTGCGGGATCGGAGGGGGTGAACACACATGTCATATACGATTCCGACCCATCTCCGATTTCCTCCACCGATTTCATCAACACTTGCCAGTCTGATTTGTAAACTACGTGCAGAAGGTGGTAAACATGTTCAAAAACTTTGGACTTCGGGATTCAGCCATGATGGCGGTTTGTCTAGATGAAGAGGAAGAAAATTACAAATCAGACTGGCAAGTGTTGATCGACCGGTGGAGGAAATCGGAGATGGGTCGCCGGTTCGGAAGCGTGTATGACATGTGTGTTCACCCCCTCCGATCCCGCACCGATCCTTCTGGAATCCCGCAAATCGGATCGTAGTAGGATCGGAAGAGTGTATGACAAGTGTGTCACCGCCTTAAATCCAGTTAAATTAGTTTTTACTAGTGATGTCATGCGTACAGATCATCGATCTCTATTATTAATTATAGAGATCGATGGTACAGATACACGAGTACACACACACATACAACATATTAAATATAATAAAAACGACCCAAATTGACCACCAAATTGTGCACCTGAAATATACATTAAAATTCGTCTTTCTAGATATTACACTTTTTCAAATGAGAATCCATAAAAATTCATGGACCTGGACATTCTTTCAGAATCCAGCCTGTCTTCAGGTTTTGGGATAAGTTAATCCCCATTAGGTTGAAGTTTACAGCCAATTAATAATTTCCACAATTGTTTTCGTTTGTAAGGACACTCACGCACACATATCTCAATTTAATGGCCTTTGTGTGGGCCCTAAAACGAGCAGGGACTACAAATTGGTCCATTAACTTGGTGTTATCACGAAGGTTATGGTCCTGATACCTATAGGGAAATTCGCTGATACTACCTAAGGGAGTATGTTTTATCTATGATACTACACTCAATTTTTGGAACCAGTTTGAGTGAAAACTTTCTAGATAAACTATAACTTGAGCTAAAGCACTGAATATATTTATTTTTATAAACTAAAATTTGTATTAAACTGTTTCTACATCAAATTTCATTATTGCTCGCTTAAAAAAGCTAGTTTGGTTGAATTGTGATGTAGCTACACTATTTTCATCTGGTACTTCTAGACTGAAGTATAAATTTATCCCGAGATGAAGTTAAATTTGCTTGCGTTAATTTCTACTTGTTAAATTGAGGTTAATAAAAATTTAGTTTTTGAGGTTGAATTGAATTCAAGTATCAAACAGTTTGAGGTTCATATAGTATGTTGGATTTATTTTTTCTTAACATTTAATCAATGTTGGCATTGGTTGCCTTTTTTTCGTGGGCGGTTTAAAACTGTTGGCTGGAATTTATCTTGATCTGCCTTCAATCTATCTATATATATAATACGCTAAGCCAATTTTTGTAAACAGAACTCCTCCCACATTTTTGGACCGATTTTGATGATTAAAATGTGAAAACAATGGCCCTGATCTGTAGTTTTGCAATGTGTTTTTCGTTTTTTGATATCTTTATTAGTTTGGGCAGGTTCTTCCATCAAAGTTGGGTTCCCTCCCATAAGATTAACATGGGGTAATCTAAATATTTAATTGGAAACTTTGTCTCCACTAATTTGAGAGAACGGATGGGCGTAGAAACTTGATAGCGGTGTCCAAAGAAAGATCTTGATCTGTAGATGAGTTATCAAAAGATAAACGAAGTAAATTCGCTTAGGGCTCTGCCCCAGAAGCCTTTAAAGATCCCTCGACAGCTTTGTTTACATTTTGGCCATATAATACTTTTTAATGAAACAGCTGTTAATTTTTAAATTGTGTTTTAAACAACACACATTTATTGGGAGTTACTGAGTTGTCCAGAAGAAGTATTTGCAATGTTATTTTCTGATTTTAAAATTGATTTTCTTCTGTATCATGTCATATTTTGCAACATAACGTTTCATTACGAAATCAGTGGAAATTCCTTTTATCACAGAACTCTTACAATAATTTCTTATTGAACTATCTAATATCTGTTATACGGGTTGTTGTCTGCCTTTTTCACCACTTTTGCCTATATTCTATCATATTATTCTACAGATCATCATAGGTTCATGAGATTATTGTCATACATGTTTTCAATCATTGGAAAAATAGTCGAATGTGTAATACAATACAAAATAATACAAGTGCAGAAGGGCACGTTGTCCATTTGAGCCGTGTCCATATTTTGTTAAATTAATAGTAGTTTACAGCAACTGGATAAAACATTTTACAATATTTAAAATATAGAAATATGAGCACGATTTAGAAAGGCTGTAAATCTGCAATTTACTACAGACTTTTCAGAGAGGTTGCTATAAAGTATTCATTCATCATAGTGAACACATAATATAGATATATGTATACAAATAAGAATTTGAACTCTTAGAGAGCCTTTTAATGTTATTAGAATAACGAAATGGGTTGTACATGTTTACTAGCGCTACTCAGCAACAAAAACCATTTAATTTATCTCTAAAATATATATTCTTAAAGTGCACTGAGCAGCAGCCTAAAAAATTCTATGAAACTTACCCATATAGTTACAAAATGCTTGAACTCACATTGTAACATTTATAATTGGGCTTATATTTCTTTATCAGATTATTTATCTGCAGAAGAAGTTTATTGTGTTCTTATCATGTCTAATAACATCCGAAGACAGTAACCTTGCCTAAAATGGTACCTATCTTGAGAAATTATTTGCAGTATCCTATATTACGGACCGCGGCCCACTGGGTTGTTAACATGATTGAAAATAACACGACATTTCGGCTATAAAAAAGGCATAAAGAGTAAATAATATTTAAGCAGCTACTTAAAGTATATTCCACTTAACCTAACTTTCCGTAGATGAATTAGCGTAAGCCTTGAGAGTAACCGTCGATTTCGACGGGTTACACCTAGTTATGTATAAACTTATCGTCTCATTTTATTGTGTGCTGGATGGTAATTTATCTTCATCTGTCTTCAATTATGTGTAAACTTATTGTCTCATTTTATTGTGTGCTGGATGGTAATTTATCTTTATCTGTCTTCAATTAATTATGTGTAAACTTATTGTCTCATTTTATTGTGTGCTGGATGGTAATTTATCTTCATCTGTCTTCAATTATGTGTAAACTTATTGTCTCATTTTATTGTGTGCTGGATGGTAATTTATCTTTATCTGTCTTCAATTAATTATGTGTAAACTTCTTGTCTCATTTTATTGTGTGCTGGATGGTAATTTATCTTTATCTGTCTTCAATTTTGTGTAAACTTATTGTCTCATTTTATTGTGTGCTGGATAGTAATTTATCTTTATCTGTCTTCAATTTTATGTTAACTTATTGTCTCCTTTTTTGTGTGCTGGATGGTAATTTATCTTTATCTGTCTTCGATTTTGAGTAAACTTATTGTCTAATTTTTTTGTGTGCTGGATAGTAATTTATCTTTATCTGTCTTCAATTTTTTGTAAACTTATTGTCTCATTTTATTGTGCGCTGGAATGATGTACCCAATCGTTTCTTGCTGTCTTTAATGCATTAAATATAATTCGATTTTAAATACAATTAAATTAAATTAATTAATCTCTTCTTCATTTTATAGCCTTTGGCATTTTATATGTGGCCAAATCCTAGCTTACAGATTAAAGATGTGTCTGACAGACGGAAACTATGTTTCACAACTGTCGATTCGATATATCGAATTGAACCACAATCGATCACTGCGATGCGAGTACTCGACTACTCGATGGTCCCCGTGCTGGGCACAATAGTAGCCTAGTGAACGTGGACAGAGCAGCATCGCTCGTGTAAATGGTGTAAGTGTCGGTGGCCTCGGATGGTACGAATCGTTATAATTGTCGGTAAGTAGCTACACGTTCCTAATTTACTTGGCACAATTGTCCCTCCTGCAATGCACGCACCCTACGCGAAACCACGGCGAAAATGTTTGTGTTCGAATTTATTATTGTGTTAACCTTTTTATTTGTTGAGCGTAGATTTTTTTATTTCTATAAACATTTGTAGAGCTATGGGGTTTTTGAGTGCTCAAGCTCAAACGGGAAATAAAATAAAAGGGCATACCATTTTGGGATCATCTCAAAATCTGTGTGTATTAATTTGTCATTTATCATTTTTACAAAATTTAATTTGATGTTACCTAGTTTAAAACTACATACTTATATTACTCAATTTGTTTACCATTTTTATATATAAATAACATTAAAATATATTTACATAATTTTTGTAATGGTGTTTACAGTATCATTGGAAAATAAATCGTAAACAGTTTTGTTATATCAATATTGACTGACAACTTATAATTAATTAGTCCCCAGTTTCAGCAAAATGCGTTACGGTTTCAAACTTTCGTCTAGAAACACGTTTTTATAAATGACCTAAAAGTGATATAAGAAAACAAAACATTGTTATTGATCCGATCGAGTGTCTCGACGATAAGTGCCAAATGACAAATAAACTACTCTCCTTATAAAAAAATACAGTATTAAGATAGTAGCTTTATAACTTTTTTATTTGTAAACAATACCTATTTTTATGTACCCAAATCACTCTGTCACTCTGTGAACTTTGGTGTTCAAAGTTGGTACTAGTAGTTCATCACTTAAAGATTCATAAAATGTTAATCGCAATAAAATCCTCTTTGGTACAATAAAACATAAGAAAAAGGTTTCATTAATAATGTAAGTTAAAATTAAGTGAGAGGAGTCAATCTGTACATTGATTGTTAACTACGTGAATTACATATAATAATATTGTTTGGTGCATTCACCTCAAGCTAGTTAAGCTAATATTATTGAAATACAATTGCTAAATTAACTTTTACGTTAAATCGCATAAAAATTGCTGCAAAAACAAATGCAACTTTCAATACAGGTCGAATCACTTACTTAGGGTCGAGTAAACATTTTACAATGCAATTTATTTCTATAATGCAACATTTTAGCAATAGCAAAAATCTATATATTGTTACATGATGGGTATTACACTTTTCAAGCCCCGCAAAGAGTACAAATTTGCTTAACGTCAATGTAGGTATAATAAAGAAATAAGGGAGGCACTGCCTCAAGGCCAGCCCCATCCTGTGATATAATGGTCAATCTATCTGAATATATGATCACGATACAACGCACGGGGATTCCCTACTTAGGTAGGAGCGGTGACCCCCGTTACCTATTAGCTAAGTGGCAGGAAACCCCCCCCCCCTTTAGGGGACCCCGGGGACCACGATAAAGGGTCCTCCAGTAGCGCGTGTTACCAAAATAGTCATCGGTTCAGGCTACCATGGTGATTGAAAATTATTATAAAACAGCTGTTAGGGTAAAAGTTGGAGGAATTATAACAATTTTCATTAACTCTGGAAGCTTCAGTGTACATTCATAGATTAACACACCCTTTGTGGACTTAACATATTAATGGATCAGCTACAATAAAATTCCAATATTATACTCAGTTCACAATATTTAGGTCGTTTTTAGAGGGAGAAATCTATCTCATCCACTTGATCCTTCAAAACAATAACTCAACAGCTGAGGTCTGCCAAAACATCAATCAGCTGTTTCATAATTCAGTAAGAAAATAGTGGGGGACTTCCCCTCAAACCGCCTAAATATTGTGAACAGACTATAGTTCTCTCCGTACTGGTTTGTGTAAAGGGGGTTGTTATCTTACTAATATTATAAATGTGAAAGTTTGTGTGTTTGTTTCTTTGTGTGTTTGAAGTTCAATCACGCATAAACCATTGGACGGATTGGGCTGAAATTTGGCATGATGATAGCTTACATTCCCGATTAACATATAGGCATATTCTTATCTCAAAAATCCTTTCGGGCTCCGCCCCAGTGGCTCTGTAATTCCCCATGTTAACCTTATGAGTATTCATATTTAAAGGGAATTAAAGAATTTAGTCAGCTGTTTCAACTGAAAAAGTTGGTTCTATGATATGGAAAAGCATTAAAAAGTTATAAGATTTACCAACAGGGTGCAGCACTATATTTTTTTGCATTTATGAAAACAGCTAATTTGAACCAAAGAAAATAGAACCTAAAGGTTCTATTTTCTTTGTTTGAACTAAGCAGTAACACAAAACTGTGATTCGTAATGAGAACTGTCAAAGTAGGATTGTTTACAGTTATGTTTATGTTTTTCATTTCATGAATAATTTGTGATATTTTGCGAATTGTTGATAATTTATTTTTCTATATTGTTTAGGTGAAGTGGTAGAACTATATGTGTAATACTATAGTATACTGTGCCATAAGTTTAAAGAAGCAAATTTTATCAAACTGTGTCCTCCCCCACTGCAAATGCAAAGCTTGAGTATAACTGCAATAAACATTCATACTAACTTATATGCCAACCCCGTACGAAGGACGGGTACTCTGCTAGTGTTTAATATTTTTTTTTTAGTTATTTACTCTTTTAAGACGACTTTAAAATCCGTCTAATTATGAACAATATCCTTTTCTGGTACAACCAAAAAGTATCGTAAAATTTATCCAAAAGAACAAACATAGTCTACATCAACGCACTCTGAACGTTACCTACATGAAACACAAAAAGGGCTTCAGATTTAACAATGCAAGTAGGTATATTCAAAGTCATATAATGGCCATATCTTTATATGTCCTTCGAAAACTGTTATGACTTTACACGATACATCAGTGGCTATATAGATTTTTATTTTTTAAACAATTCGATCATGGACAATAAAATTGCTTTTGAATGGTGTAATAAGACTTTTCATCCAGTAAAATATTAAGCACGGTTGTTTTATGTTATTTTCGTGCTCTTTGATGTAGGCAATGATTCTCTTTTATTTTAGGGTAGATTTTACGATTTGTGTCAGCCTATTTAATAGATATAACTCTTGACATAAAATATGGTTACGAGTTAACCTGTAATTAAATTCTAAAGTGTTTTATAACAATTTATTAACCGATCAGCATTACATTGCTATATACAGCTTAATAAGAAACAAAATAGCATTATTAATTACATTAACATACGTAGAGGTCAGCTATGGCTAGCCCCTCAGGCACTTTTTACTCGTCACTGTTTTAGCGGGTCGGACTGTAAAGGCGCTGTCCACCAATGAAACACAAATTAAAAAAATGGTTATAATAAAACAGCATTATAATAAAAATTCTAAAGTGTTTTCAAAATAACAAAAACCAAAAAGTAAACGAAACTTCGTCTACTTAAACTGTTCAGATATGTGTTTGATAATTTTCTTCGGCTGATCCGTCAAGATGATTACTCCATGAGGAGTTTTATATACTCTAATTATAAGTTTGTTTACTTTATAAACAGAATTGTTATTTGACAGCAGTGAGTTTGTTTAAGAATACACTACGTCCTTCTTTATCATTGGCTACGACTTACCATGACAACGAGAGGTTTACTAAGAAATGTATTTGTGGTCAACACCGTGTTAGCCACCTACCAACGAATAATAAGAGGACTTAGTTTAATAGTCAAAAGTAAAATAAAAATCCTTCCTACAACTCAACTTTCAATGAAAGAAATATTCACATGAACAATTGAACTGATAGTATAACACAGTTTTACGTAATTTGAAAACTTAAATTTTTACATGATCAAATTACGATTATATTGAAACTTAAATGAATTCACAAATCTTATTGAAGTAAATATGAGTTTCTTAAAGGCTGAATTTATTAATTTACAAAGCCTTACACACCCGACCGATTTTCAATTAGGGATAAATCTTATTGCGAATCTTCCTTCATGAATAGGCCTCAATAAAAATCAAACCAGTCAACTGGAAATTCAATTAAGCGTGTTTACTACACTTAATTTCTTTTTGGGACGGAAAAAATGCAAGTAACGAGAAATGTTCAAGAGGGGCGGAACGGAAGTCGACGTCACTGTCGACCACTTCCTGTACACAAGTATTTAAGTGACGTCAGGTTTAAGTGACACGGTCACCTGTAGTCAAGTACGTGTTGTTATCAACAATGCTCTGTTCAACAATGCTTGGCTTTGTGGCGATTGTTGGGAACAGTTATTGTTGTACAGATTTATGTTAAACTGTTGTATGCCTTCGATGAAGTGCGAATTCGATTTAAAATGTTAAATGTAACTAGTGGGTCGAACGATTTAGTACAAGTAAATAAGCAGGGAGATTGCAATGCACTGTATACAAAATCACATTTAGAATTGGTTTTGAATACTGGAGTTGACATTCCATCTGTATGAAACAACTGTATCCAGTTTTATTCTCAGACAAAACAGTATTTAAATAGGGTCTCGTAGAGTGTGCTATTCAAGTTTTATTTTGCCTTAAATTGTTTGTGCTTATAGTTTCTGAGAACATGTCATAGTGTTCAAGAAGTTGATTTTTTAAGTGTTTTGCACAGTTATATAATGCATAAGAATGGAACTATAATTATGCATCAGCATCTTATCGTAGTAGGATTGAACTACGCGATTTGTTCGAACGTTTTTTATCGTGAATGTGTTCTGACTCGTATGGCAATTTTAAGACACACCTAACTAACACTACAACTCACTTAATACCATAGTATCCTTGTTATTTTACCTCAACGTTGTAGTATAAACGGATCAGAGAGATAAGTTTAATTACGATCGAAGGACGCTTAGTTAAAAACAATTTAATTAAAATTTTCTCTCAATAGAAAACATGACTTAAACTTCTACGCGAGATGTCTTCTTCCGTGCCAAGGAAAATAAAAAAATATTATTCATATACGACTAATTTATTTAAAAACGTAGAATACTGTAGCCAAAGCAAACGTTTAAACTGGCGAAACAATAAACATATTTTAGGTACATACATTTCATCTAACTTGAATCGATCTTT